TCCCAGCCCTAAGGGTCTGGACACCTTCAAATAGTGCCCGAATAGTGCCCGAAATAGTGCCCGAAATAGTGCTCGAATGAACCCTTCATAGTGCCCAAATGATTTTTCGCGAAAACAAGCAGATTTTTCTTTCCTTTACAAAAGGAAATGTATTTGGGCACTATGAAGGGCTCATTCGGGCACTAGTACGGGCACTATTTCGGGCACTATTCGGGCACTATTCCTGCTCTATGCCAGGCGCAAGCTTGGGTGGCATTCTTTGCACGGCTGAGGCTTTGGAGGCCCTGCAAATGCTCGAGATGTGCAAGAAGAACGGGAATTTGTGCAATAGGAGGCACTAAGGAAGCGCAGGGAGTGATCTGCGAGGCAGGGTTCGGATTGCAAACGGGGTTTTAGGGAAGGATCTACAAGGCAGAGTTTGGGGCAGGATCTGCAAGGCACGATTTGGGGGAGGGTCCGCCAGCAAGCGTTTGGAGGAGCACACAAGGAAGACCTCAGGATAGCAGTTACAGGTTGGAGCTTACGGAGCCTTCGGCAATGCGAGGATGTGAGGAGAAGTTGCCAATTGTTGCGATATGCAGGGCTTCAGAGTTTAGGTTTAGAGTGGAATCTGCAAGGCAGGCTTTGGGGGAGGATCTGGGAGTTTCCGAAAATTAGGGTACCTTATTTGGGGGTCCTTATAATAAGGATCCTAATGTTTAGGGTACTATATTAGGGTCCCCTATTTTGGGAAACTCCCATCTGCGAGCAAACGTTCGGAAGAGCCTGCGCAGAAGATTGTAGGGTAGTCCATCTACAGGCAGGAGAGCCTCGGCAATGCGAGGGTTTAGGGAAAGATTTGCCACGCAGAGCTTAGGGGAGGATCTTAACGAGACGTGTAGGGAGGAGGCCCGAAATAGCCGAAATGATCTTCTTTGAAATAAGGAAATGTTTGTGCTATGACTGCTATGAAGGACGTAAGGTTTTTATTGAGTACAGCAGCAGTTAGTCATTGACAGTCTTCCTGTTTGTATATTCAGAAACCTCCCCCCCGCCCCCTCAATTTCAATGTGTGCCGCAATGCCGCTGCAAGTCACTGGCCGCCTCGATGTAAACATTGAAATTGGGGGGAGCGGGGGTCTGGAAGGTTTGGACGTATGGTACAAAACAAGTCCAATATTTGTATTATCGCGCGAGGCCATTTTCAGTGTCCGAAAAACCACGAAAACTGGAGGACACATCAAGGTACCCCCACAGAAGCGCTGCAGCCGATCTCGAAATCCGGAATGGCACCACCACCAGCCGTGCCGACGGCACGCTGCTGGCCTCCTTCACCGCCGGAGGCATCGGCCTGGAGCAAGACATCACTGTGCGCTCGGACCGCACTTTGAACGCAACCACGGCGGACTTCGCCCAGTTCTTCGTCGGCAGCACCGTTGCCACGGAGACCTTCAGTAGCAGCAGCTCCGTGGCGGCCACGCAAATCACGAGTGACCTCAGCTTGAGGCGCCTCTGGTGCGCTCCGATCCGGCGGCGTTCTGGCTCACGGTTCAGGGAGGGACCAAGAAAAGCAAAAAAAAAAACTGAATCGCGGCTCAAGGTGCTGGCGGGCAACTGCGAGCTCAACGCCCAGTTCCAGTTCATCAGTTTCAAACGATCAACGGCCTGGCCAATCTGACCATCAAGTCCAACATCGGGGGCAGCAACGATGGGGAGGTGATCTTCGGGTATAGGTTTGTCAATCTGAGCGACCGGGCGCTCAAGGAGAACGTCCGGGCCATTCCGGACGAGGAGCTGCAAGAGACTTTTGACACCATGGAGCCGCAGATCGGCTTCGTGGTCCAGGACGTGCAAGCCAGCGGGAAGCTGGATGCGACGATGTGCAAGACGAAGAATTTGCATGGTCGGGAGCTGATGGCTCTCGATTGTCAAAAATCTCAGCGTGGTGCTGTGGGGCGTGGTGAAGAAGCTGCAGAAGCGTGGAGAAACTTGAGAAGAAGAAGAGCTGCAAGGGCAACTCGGATTAGAAAGGGCAAAGGACGGCGCGATCGCGGCTGCCTGGAACTTCAAGTGCGGGACCTTCGGAAGCTCCACTAGATAGCCCGCTGGGAGTTTCCGGAGCGGCGAGACCTCACGATGTGTTCACCCGGGGGTTGCGACAAGGGCTTTGCCCGACAAGCGGGCCGAAACCGTCACACCTGCGGCCGAGATCATCCCCGAGCTGGTGCAAAACGAAGGAACAGATGTTGTCACCACGGATATGGGTCACGAATTCCGGTGCTGGAAGCGACACTGCCGCCGCAGAGAAAGGTCGTCAGGGTCAGCTCGGGGTCCGGCTCGCAGTCTCCTCCGCCAACGATTTTATTTGCTGGAAAATCATCCGCGAAGATCATTAGGCGAAACTTCGCCGATGTTAATTGCCACAAGCAATCGCACACCTGCTACAACACACAGCAACTGAAGAAACGCCAAGACACAGGCGATTAGACGTTCCTCTACACTCTCAACGACATTCATATGGATGACCCCGCCTACTTCCGCCGGGTTCTCTGGGAGCTTGCTGAACCTTTGTTGGGGCGGCGTGCTCCGCACGTCCGCCTTGCATTATGGGATAAAACGCCCGGAGTGCTGGCCATTCGGCCACGGGTGAGTCCGCGCTAGCTGCCGTGTGCCGTAGATTTGCAATGGCCACACTCCCGGAGCATTTTGCGGCACTGATAGTCCTTAGGGTAACAGTTCACTGCCACCCGACAGATACTTCGTGCTATTGGATCGCAAGAGCGCAGGGCTTCATGCCATCCTCCACAATACCTTATCAGTTGCGACGCTCTATATCAGTCATACGGGCTGGCGCAGCTTGGGCTTTCGGTTCCTGCCGCGTAGCAACAGTGCTCCGACAGCTTTCTGCGGAATATCACTCCTGCGTCTCTACCAACTTGGCAACGCTCAACTTCAATAGTTTCCAAGCATCGACCGATTTCCACGTGACTGCGCGACTTCTACATAGGTTTTTGGGGGGTGTTCAAACCCAAGGTTTGGAACTTAGAGTTCCGAACCAGGGTTCTGGAACTCCGAACTAAGATTTCGGAGCCTCGAACCCAGGGTTCGAACAGAAGTTCCCTCCGAACCCTGGGTTCGAACTTTGAGAATTCCGAACTTCTTGAACTGGAGTTGAACCTGGAGTTGAACTCTGAAGGCGAAGAGTTTGAACCCAGGGTTTGAACATAGAGTTTCCGAACCCAGAGTTCGAACATTGAGTTTCCGAACCCAGGGTTTGAACTCTTGCGGCCCGAAAGTTTCAATCCAGGGTTCGAACAATCAGTTCCCGAACCCAGAGTTCCAACGTTGAGTTTCCGAACCCAGGCTTCGAACTCTGGCGGCCCTAAAGAGTTGAAACCCAGGTTTCGAACATAGAGTTTCCGAACCCGGAGTTCGAACATGGAGTTTCCGAACCCAGAGTTCGAACTCTTGTATCATTGCTTCTTGTTCTCTCATTTTATTTTCTTCGCAAAAACCACCATTAAGCGATTTCGTGTGGCTTCTTCTTCTTTTGTTTGTGCTTGCGTTTGAGTTTGTGGTTTCTGTCATTGTAGTGTGCTCTCAGTTAATTTTCTTCGCAAAACCCCCACAAAGCGATCTGTGTGGCTTCTTCTCCTTTTGTTTGGTGATTGTTGGTGTTCGAACCCCGTTCGAACTCTGGGGGGGAGTCTAGAACCCGGGGTTGGGCGGTTCATTTGTTCGCGGCTTTAGCATTCTCGTAGGAGACTTCATGCCCCTTCTGAAGCCCCCTTTGAGAAGAAAGACTCCTCATTGACAATCTTTGTCTTTGTTTTGTCTTTCTTTGATTTCTTCTTGTTTTCGGCAAGCTTCTAAAAACAGCGGGGGGGTTGGGGGGGGCGCAGCCCCCCCCAAACGTGGAGTTCCCGAACCCAGGGTTCGGGGGGGGGGACGACTTCCAGAACCCGAGGTTCCAACATAGAGTTCCCCAAACCCCGAGTTCCAACATAGAGTTCCCCCGAACCCAGGGTTCGAACTCCCTGGAGGACCGGGGGGGGGTTCCGAACCCAGGGTTCGGACTCTCTGGGAAAGGGGGAGGAGTTCCCGAACCCGGGGTTCGAACATGGAGTTCTCCAAACCCCGGGTTCGAACATAGAGTTCCCGAACCCAGGGTTCGATTTGCTGCTTTGAAGTAAGGCTGCAAAAAGCGCGTCTGCTGTTTGCAGTTTGGGTCGAGACCAAAGACGTTAAATAGGCTCACCTCTGATGCACATGAGGCTCGCCGCCCTCCTATTGTAATGCTCCTGATAAGTTTGCTGCGGCTAAATGCTGGCACGCTGATGCGAGGATTTTGCGGCATGTACTGGCAGACGTTCTCAGCTTGTAGCTTCAGCTGTTTCGATTGCTTGCTGTACGTGCGCGGTGCTTTTTGCGTCTGGAAGCTCCACTTGCAGGAGCTCTTTTTTCCTACAGAATCGTAGGAAGCCTCGAAGGGCCTCCCCTGAAATTCTTGGCCACACCACGTTTCGGTTAAGCTCTCGTGTCGTGCAGGTCCCCGGTTATCCCTAAGTCCCGACCCCCAGCGCCCGGTTCTTTTGCATGGGTCGGACAAGCATCGTCGTGCAACGGTCAGCCTATAGCAATTGTTTGACAAAAGTTAGATTCTTGCGGTGTCGGAACGTGCTGGTGCAAGTCTTGGTCATCATAGCCGATTGTTAGCATGAGTTTACGCCCATTGGCAGTTTTGTTTTTGGGCGAATCATGCAGACAGTCCCCGTGCCGGTGCCTCCAGCCAACCTCTAAGAGCGACGCATATAGGCGCCTACACACTGACCAATACATCTTGGGACTCCTTACTAAGCCGTACTAAAGTTACAATATAAAAATATAAGATACCCCAAGGCCTTGTTTATATGATAAAGTCTCTGATATTGACTCCGTTTCCCGCCGCTGTCATCTTCCGGCTCCAGGCAGCCCTTCGAGGCGCGTAACTTTACGGAAATGACTACCGCTTTTGCCCTGTGATGGCATCACCTTCGCTGCCTTTCATGCTCTTCAAGGCGCGCCTGCGAAGACCTGAGATTTCGAGTTCCAAATCCAAAGCTGAAGGGATTGACCTTGAAGGAGAGCCCGGTCTTCGTGCACGCTGTGGTTGCTAGATGCCGTTTCAGCTCAGTAGCTCATGAACTTTCACGAGAACGCGGTTTGTCGTAGTCAAGCCGAGGCCTTGCAACCACTCGGCTGTTGCTTGTAACAGGACGAACAAAGCATCCTCCCAAGTTCTCGTAGAAAAAACGGCGACACCCCCATACATCCGTGCAAGCCTCTCCTAAACGGTTTATGAAGTACCGAAAGCTCCATTAAGAAGTCCTGTGCATGTGAGCCAATGATGTAAACATTTACAAGCGTTCATGCAAACCGTAGTGCCAAATCGAGCCTAAATCCCAACAGCTGAGTACTGCACGCGAGATGCATGAGTCGAATCCTGGAAGCGTACACCCGTACAGCACCAAAGAAGCTCAACATCTGCGAGAAGCAGGCGGCGCTTGTGTCGCTGTTGGCTGCATCTTCGGCGCCCCAGGAGTGCAATGTGCACCCGGAGGACAGGGTATCTGGTATGTAGGGGATCCTGCCTTCGAAGCCAGGGTGAGGGGTTGCAATAGTGCAACAGTCCACATGGCAGAAGGATCGTTTGTTCGTTTTGATGGCTCGCGTCTGAGGTTGTAGGGTTTAGGACGTAATGAAAAAACAAACAGGATCGATTTCGAAAACCTCTAGTTTCGGGTAGATCAACCTAAACCCTAAACCCTAAACCCTAAATCCTAAATTTAAATCTTACCCCCTAAAAACCCTAAACCTCTAGGAAGCCTAACACTCTAAGAACCCTAAACCCTGAACCCTAAATCCTAAACCCTACACCCTAAACCCCGGGAGCCCCAGGAAGTCCTAAGCCCGGAGAGACCTCCTGGAGCCGCCGTGGGCACCGGGCTCCTTCAGACGAAGCCTGCAGCCAGGGCGCTGGAGAAGATGGGCATCTCGCCCTAAGCCTTAAACCCTAAACCGTCAGTTTCGGAAGGGGCTTGGGGGTTTAGAGGTTTAGGGTTGGGGTTGAGGGGTTTAGAGTTTTTACATGTTTGTAGTGTTTAAGGTTACCTAGGGGCTTCAGGGTTTAGGGTTCAGGGTTGAGAGTCTTTAGTGTTTAGAGTTAGGGTTGAGGGGTCTAGGGCTTTGTGCCCCAGGCTTGGAAACTCGTCAGTGCTGCAAGGACCTTCGGGTTTGGGTGCAAATCTTAAGCGATGCCAGAAACTAGAAATTTGGGTGAGTGATGGCGAGTGCTGAAACTGGTTTTGCAGGTGCATATGCGCATACCGTGTCACATACCAGAACACTATACCCTAAACCCCAAACCCTAAACCCTCTACATTATCCTATACCTTACCTTGCGGCCATGAGGATGCTGATGTTCCGTCTGGTTTTTGCAGTATTCTTCCCTCCCACCCTAAACCCCAAGATCACCGAAAAGCTCCTGACTTCTTTGATTAGGCCCTTCGGCGTAGTGTTTAGAGGCTGTTGTGTGGCTGTCGTTTCTTTGCGCAGTCAGCCTTGATAGCTGATAGCTCACTTCGGGCATCTTGGTGGTGTGTGTAGTGTTTCCGAAACTGACAATCTGAATGTGCTGTTCAGGTCTAAGCAAGATGCCTTGAAAATGGAATGCAGGGATGAGGTACAACATCGCTTCAACACCATGCGGCTCCGCGTCAGAAATGCTGGTCGATGTCCGCTGAAACTCGCTGTCATAGATCTCTTCGCAGCGCTTCTGCACGACGGTGTTTCTTAAACCTTATAACCCTAAACCCTAAAGCCTAAACCCTACACCCTACACCCTAAACTAGAACCCTAAACCCTACAGAAGGGTCGTACCCTAAACCCTTAAACCCGAAGCCATCCCCCAGGTTTCGAGGAATCCATGCTGAAGGCCATGGGGAAGCTTGAGGAGGAGCGGGCCGAGAGACGTGAAAAGAAACCCGCGCACCGAAAGTCTCTCGAGGCAGCAAGAAAATCGGCCAAAGGTCGAGCAACAGAGACTCTACGAAATGGCACTACGAAGAACAAGAGAACCCACACCTTAAAGCATCATCTGTTCTTTTGTCCGCGTTGGTTAAATTAGGCAATGAGGTGCTGGCCGCCTGCCTCTCACCGTTCTGTTGCAGTTTAGTTCCTGTACTTATCGACCCATCGAGCCTTGCAACATGGGTCTGGTTGTTGTTTTTCCTCCAGGCACGTGCTGTAATCCTGAACCTGCTAGCTTGCAGGGAGGTAGAATGGTGCATCGCACAGTTTTGCACTCACAGGCCCATTGCGGAAGCCACATACCCGGGTCACAGACATCTAGGGGCCTTAGTTCTTAATACTCAAGATGTCGGATTTTGGGATGTGTTATAGCAATACATGTACCTAAATCTCTGAACCTTAATCCGAGGGTTAGGGTTTAGGAATCCAAAGCCCTAGACCTAAATCCAAACACCCTGACCTCAAACGTTTAAGAATCCTAAACCTCGCATGTACCGAGACTACAAGAAGTTGCCATCACTGATGTCAATTTTGGTCGCATTGACAACGCAGCTCAGCAGGAAATCTTCTCTTCATCTCACCCCCCAGAATTCGCAACCTGAAACCCTCAACCCCGAATCACAAGCCCTAAATCCATCTCCTATACCGCAGACCCTAAGCTTTCGGCCTTTTTGCCGAAACCGCAAACCCGAAGTCCAAAGCCCTAAAGCGCCATAAGCCTGTATGCCTGTCAGGAGCTCAAAGATCTTAAGACCCAGGCGGAGCTCAAGAACGAAGACGCCGGACTCAAGGAGGTGCCGGCAACCCAGCACAAAACGTTTTGGGATTCCGAGGGTTAAAGGCTTGAAACCCTATACCTTAAGCCGTAGTTTGAGGCTTCTGGGCCCAGGAAAAATGCGCGCAAGCGCCGTCTTGAGCACCCCGGAACACGGGCCTTCATGGTAGGTTTCTCGATATCGCAAAAGCAAGAAACCCCCAAAAGCTCTGCCTTGCCAGCTCCGAAAGAAACCTTAAATCCTAAGCTCTCAGCCTACTGTAGGAACCTGATTAAGAATTCCGGGGCCTATTATTAGGATTCATAACTTAAAAAAACCCTAATAAAGGCCCAAGGTTTTTCAATCAGGCTCCGACATTCAACCCTAAACCCCAAACCCTCTTGGTAGAAGTTCTTGCAGGAGCTGGCAGAGCTCAAGAACCAAGACGCCGGACTCAAGGAGGTGCCGGCAACCCAGCACAAAACCCGTTTAGGGTTTCGCGCTGCCCACCCTAAACCCAAAGCCGTAGTTTGAGGTTTCTGGGCCCAGGCCAAATGTGAGTCTTGAACGCCCCGGAACACGGCCGAGTATTGTAGGATCCTCGATATCCCCATAACAACAAACCCCCAAAAAGCTCCTAAATTCCAAGCCGAAAAACCCGAAAATCTCCTGGTAGAAGTTCTTGCAGGAGCTAGCGGAGCTCAAGAACGAAGACGCCGGACTCAAGGAGGTGCCGGCAACCCCCCACAGAACCCTTTGCAAGCCGTAGTTTGAGGTTTCTGGGCCCAGGCCCCGCGCTCCACACTTGCAAGTCGCCATGCGCGTAAGCAGCGTCAGGGCAGCGTCTTGAAGGCCCTGTAACACGGCCCCAGATTGTAGCCTAAGCCCTAAACCCTAAGCCCTGAGCCCTGAAGAAGTGATCCCTTAAAGCCGTAAAGTTCTATGGCCCCAAAGCTCCAAAGCCGCAAAAGCCCTAAACCTTAAAACCTGAAAAACCCCAAAGCCCTAAACAGCCCTACACCCTGAAGCCCTGAAGCCCGGAAGAGCGCACGTGGAGCCAGGAGCTCGGCCGTTTGGAAAAGTCCGAGAGTGCAGGAGACGCCTTCCTGAATAACTTAGGGGTACTTAGATATTTTTTAATTTTTGGTTATTATAATCCCTAAGAAACAGCTAAAATCAAAATTTTTGCTAGGGTTCTAAGTTCAGTATAGATAAGGCTCGATTTGGGTCTTAAGGATGTGTCGGGTGTTGGGATTTAGGGTTTGGATTCCAGGGTATTGAGATTTGAGGTCGTTTTGAGATTTAGTATTTAGGGTCAGGTTTTTCTTGGGTTTAGGGATGGGGGGTTGTCAGGGGTTCAGGGTTTAGGATCTGTAGGATTTAGGCATGGGAGTTTGGGGTACGGAGTTTCGGTTTGTGCGCGTGACCTTTAGGTTCGGCTTCCCTTGGAGATTCATCGTTCGAGGTAATTGGGGGTGTCACGGTTTGGGGTTGAGGGTTTGGGATTGAGGGGTTTAACGTTTAGGATTTTGGGTTTGGGGTTTGGAAGATGCAGGGTTCTAGTGATGATACGGGCGCCTAAAGGGTGTACGCTTTAGCGAAAGCAGGTGGGCATTGCGCGGTGAGCGCCTCGCGCGGTAGTGACGGTTTAGATGGGCTCTTCAGGGTTTGAGGTGTATTTTGTTAACACTCTTAGTACACCGAAATTCCAAAGCCCAAGCACTTCAAGCCTCTATATGCCTTAGAAAAAACGCCAAGCCCTAAGCTGATAAATACGAAGATTATAAATCACCAAAAGTAAAAAGCTTTTAGAGGGGTTTTGATAATGGAGCACATATGTACCAATACAGACCTACTACAGAATTTCTTCGGTGCCCTGTTCTGGTCCTACAAAGCCCTATGAAGCCTTAGAGAGTGCATAGAACCCTTACCAGGTGCCCCCAATGCTCGGCGGCCGTGTGCATCTTCCTGGGATCTTCGCCCAGCACCAAAACGCCAGCGAACGCAGAAGCAGCTGCCACTTGGGACTTGAAGGGGTGGTTTGTGTGTGTATTTTGTCGTTGGCACGGTGTTATGGGAAGGTTTATTTGCTTTCAGGGTTGTAAACTGCTTTCATGTGCCTTTAGTGGGTTGTACAAGGGTTGTATAAGGGTTGCATTCTAGGGTTTGCAGGGTTGTGTGAGAGTTATATTCTAGGCTTCGAGGGTTGGTTTCTCACTTGTAAGTTGGCTCCTGAGAGCCTTCAACCTTGAACGAACTTCAAGCTCGAGCTTGAATCCTCGAGTCCATACGCCGAGGTTCATGTCGCCACAGGTATGGCGTTCTGAGCCATGCGGACATTCGAATAAATGCGCGAGTCCATGAGAAGGCATCTTCGCTTTCGAGTCGAAAACCCTGAAAGCACGAGGTTCCCACATCCCTAAGCACATGCCTAAACGCAATAAAAAACCGAAACGTCTCAGGCAAGAAGGCAGTGGGCCCTCCTCTCGCCAGCCTCGTTGGGGGGAACATCTCTGACGCTTCGAAACTGAAGACGAAGAAGGTGCAGGCCAGAGGGCTTTCAGGGGGGCTGTTGAAAGGTGATTTCGAGATCTATATACATGTTTTTGTGTTGTTTTGGGTTAAGGGTCGGGGGGCTTTTGTGCTGAACTGTGTTTTTTCGCTGCTTGTGTGACTGTTCCGTGTCATTCTTGTTTGGTCTGTGTCCAGATCTCGGGTGTTGAGCTTTGATCTTCGGGTTTGGGTTTTCTATGAGTTATGACTTAGAAGCTGCCCCCACCCTGCAATAGTGGTATAATAGGAATATAATAGGGCCCTAATATTATCCTATATAATCTTTACAGTCACTGTTACAGGGTGGGGGCAGCTTCTAAGTTATGACTTTTGATACTTTGGATTCAGGGCCTGCACCCCAAAGTGTAGGCACGAAAAGGCGGTTGACAGATCTGGGCTTTTAGGGTTGAAGGCTGGGGGTTCAGAAGTTCGGGGGCGCATGGTTTGCAGGAGGAAGGTTCTATTTCGTTCGTATTTGCCATCTAGGTGTTCAGGTTGATTCATGGTCTAGCGCTTAGGTTTGGGCTTCAGGGTTTGGGAGCTGCGTGTTTCGGGGACCAGGGGGAGCTTGGGGTGTTGGGTTTGGGGTTTCGTGGTTCAGGGCTTTGCCTACTACCGGCCCACCGTTGATCATCACCACCCTGAAGCACCATCATCATGGTCATCATCAGGTTTTAGGATTGGTATGGAGACCAGCATCATCTGCACCATCACCAACACCAGCACCATTCCTTGTTGTACAAGGTTTGACAGGATGCTGAATGCGATGTTCCTAAAACCTAAACCTTGGAGCCTAGAGCCCAACATCCCAAAACGCCGAAGGAACTTCACACCTTGAAGTCTAAGATCTCGACCACAAACTGCCCGAAGAAACTTCATCCCCTAAACCCCAAACCCTAAACCGCAAGGTTTAGTTTGTTGCTGTTTTGTTTCCCTGAACCCCGTTTGAGCCCGCTGCTTTGCATGTGAGGTCCACAGTTCCAACGGCGGCTGCCCGAGCGGAGAGGTTGGGACCCCAGAAAGAGGTTCAGGGTTTGGGGTTTAGGATGACAACCTACAGTACAGCATTATGGAGTCCTTTGTCGTTGGACTACGTAGGCTTTTGGGGGTCATAACATTGGGACGACAAATGCCTTGCTATTGGTACCTCTTCCGACCCCTACATCATGTCATTTGCGATTCATTAGTGCAAGGCTCTGAATGATTGAGGTTTGAGGTTCGCTGGACCCTTGTGAGACGATTCTTGCTTCTTGAGGTCTTCATTGGGTCACATATACTGAGGATCTTGCCGATTGAGGCTTGAGGTCCCTACAGTAGTTTCGACAAGAAGGATTTCGTATACTGGTCAAGGCCTATGTTAACGTCCTTTTCTGTTTTGCAACTCCCACAAGGGCCGAGACTGCTTGCTTTGGATGTTTCCTTTCTTCTTTTGGGGTGGGCAGGAACATAGCTTCACACTTAAGCTTCATCCACAAGCCCAGGCCCTGAAATTGCTGCTGAAGCAGGCAGGCAGGCAGGCATGCGTGACAGGCTACCCAAAAACCGCTTGGACCCATGAGACCCATCGCCCCAATTCGGGAAATTTCTTAAACTTGGGATACGTGGAAAGAGGTCACTGCATAAAAATCCTGAATCCCAAGCCCTGAAGCCTTGTACTTCCGGGCGCTTCGTGAGGTGAAGCTCTTTGACTTTCACCCGACCGGAGCAACACAGAGCTGCTGCAAGGAGGAGGTTTCTGACAACTCGTTTTGGGGTTTAGGAGTATGTTTGGGACTAGTTTTCATCAACGGGCTTTGTGTTATCGTCGTTAGGATTTTTGTGATGGAACGCTTTTGAGAGTTGGCTTTCAGATGATTTTCGTTAGCGGACCTTGAAGGGTTATTTGAGGGTACCTTGAACCCGAAGCCCTGTAAAGCCCAAACCCTAGCCCGTTCCATCCGCTGGCTTCAAAAACCTACGTAAACCCATTTTCCCTAGTATGGAGCCTTCAATCAGGGTCTAGTCCAGGGTTTAGGGGTTGAGGGTTTCCATGTCTGACCAGTTGACATTCGTGATTGCCTCTAGCTTGCCTGTAAGCTTTTTGCGTAGCTGTCTCCATTCCGGATCTATTTGCCCGATGGCCGCTAAACCCTAAACCGTAAACCCTAAACCCCAAACCTCTGTTCCTTTACTACCAGTACGTCAGCTTCCGAAATCACGGTTCCTCAGGGCAAATTCAGATCAAGGGGTCTCTTGTCCTACAGAACCCTTTCAGGCTGTAGGGTTAGTGTTGTTATTTTGCTTTTATTGCTATACTTGTCCACTTTTAGGGTTTACGGTTATTGTTGTTTATTATCATGATTATCTCTATTGTTAATATGACGGCAATATTCTCGTATCATGATCATATACCCATATTCACTCTTGGGGTTTCGGGTTTTGTGTGGGCGATCTGACGCAGGCGTGTGCTGGTTGCGCATTTTTCTCGGGAAGTTCCTGCCAACGTTGCGCCGGTGGCTTCATCGAGCGTGAAGGCCACTGCACTGCGTGCACCAGTTCCGGTGGTTGGCTCCTTGGCGAATGTTGTGGATACTTTGTGTGTCTTAAGGTGTTTGCGGCCAACAGGATCCGCATGGAGATAAGCTATAACTGAGACCGAACCTCCTGACAGGGACGTTGGCTCTAGTTTGCATTGAGGTTCTTGTTGGGTGCTCTTATGAGTACGCTTGAGTGTTAGTTTTCCATTTCGGCTTGGAGGGTGAGGTCCTTCAGTTGCATGTAAGGTTGCATTGCCAATCATTTTGCAGCACTGATCCAGGCTCAGCGTGGATGGGAAATCGTGCATGCAGCTGGCGGCAAGCGATTGCAGCGATGAAAAAGTACGAGGCCAATCGAGCAACGAGGCTTGCTGCCAGTGCGGTGGTGGGGTCATTACGCACCTTGGTTGCATGTCCCACCGGGTGCGAGGGGTGATCTGAGTTGTTTCATGTTGTTTCTGTCTTTGCACTTGCAATGTAGGGCTGTAGGAGTCGCTCAAGTGTTCCTTGTATTGGTAATTCCAGTGCCTTGATCCTGGAGGAGTTTGCGCGGGTACATGATGTCATAGCATAATTAACTGGGATTATACGTTGGGTACTGCCACCACTCACTAATAGTTGAACAATATTCATAATATAGATATATTAGGACCTTAATAATAGCCCTATTATAGACTCTTACTGTGTTGGGGCCGTACCCAGAGTATGCGGGAAGTACATTGCTAATACTTCGGACTCCTGCTGTATCCTAAATCCGAGGCCATAAGCCCTAAACCCTAAACCCTAAACCCTAAACCGTATCTGGAACCATCCCGAGTGCCCGGCCCACACCTGCAGGGGCCAGAGAAGGACATAAACATAGTCTTTCAAGATCTCCCCACTGCTAGGGGACATTTAAGGGATCTATAAGGGTTCTGTAAAGGGTCTAGGGTTTAGAAATATGGGAGTTTCCGAAAACAGGGGACTCTGATATAGTACCCTACATAGTAGGATCCTTATTATTAGGACTTCCACATAAGGTACCGTTGTTTTCGGAAACCCCATAGAATACACCATAAACTAAACTGTGTTTGTTTCGGGGCAGTTTGAGCTCCTAACCTTAAATCCGAAACCCCTGAGCCCTCTGTATCCCAGGCCGACGCCCTTCTCCTATCCCAACAGCCGTTGGTCCCTGGATTCCAACATTGCGACTCGCCAAGGATGTCCGAACATCTTACATGTTTGTTAACATTTATATTACTTTGCGCATAGCTAGAATTTTGACAGACTGCCAGTGCCGCTTTTGCTATGATTCTTAAAAGCACCGGTGTCTGGACGTACGTTTTGGGCTCGTTGCGTTACTTTCGTTTCGGGATGCGCGGCGGAATTGCCCAGGTTCTGAAGCCGGAGCCGCGCACGGCCCTTCGCTACACCGTGGACTCCAAGTGTGAGCTTGCGGCACATAACCTGACCATTGACAGCTCCACAGGCGGGCTTAGGGTGCTTCGTCGGTCTCTTGCAGGGGAGGTTCACAGTGTCTCGGCGGTTGGGCTTGTAAATGTTGTGGCTTTGGGTTTGGGGGTTGGGTAGGCTTCCTGCATCGTTGTTCGCACAGGCAATGGTCGCTTGAGGGTCAAGCGATTCGGCAGGTGTTCCTGCGCGGCTTCCCACATTCGTATTTTGTGAAAGCAGTGGATGCATTGCAAGTTTCCATTTCATGTGCAGTGAGGGGAGGGGCAGTAGGGATTTCATTCTGTGAACGGTTTCGGATAAGAAGGGGTCTCAGTAGGGTCTGTGTGTTCTGACGGAGCGCAAGAAGAAAGACCATAGGAACGCCCATGAAACATGGGCAACCACCTTCTTGTATGCAAGCCCTCCGAACCGTTTTCGACCCCAAACCCTCAGGCCTCAGCCCCAAAACCCCGAACCTTAAAACCCTCTACCGAAAAGATCCAAACACATAGCACGACGAACTCAAAACCGAAAAACATAAGAGCAACGCACACTGGAAGTCAAATTGAGAAACAACCCTACACAACAAACGGACGGCTGCAGGAGAGATCAGCTACATGTCCGGGCGGACCAAGCCCGTGGAGGTCATCCTTTGGTTATTCTCCTCACTTTGGGCCATAAGTTCTTCATCGGATGTTCCTGCTGGGTGTTGGCTTGGACATTTGGTCTTCGTAGTTTCCAAGGGGGTATTCAGGTCGAGGGATGCAGGTTTGGATTCAATAGATTTTGAAATTGAGGGCTTAAGATCATCTAGTGCTAAGTGTTTGGGTTTCGCAATACACGGAGTGCGTGTGCAGGTTTCGAGTATAGCAAGAAGAGGTGTCGTAGTTTTCAGTGTCTCGGGTTTACGATCTTCGGCGTGCGCCTAGACTTAGAACCAGCACTGGAAGCCCTATGTAAACCCTGAATCCTGAAGTGACAGGTCTGCAAGCTGTTGCGTGACCCGGGTTGCGGGCTTCAGGCTTAAGGGGCAGCGGGGGGTCTCAGGCGGAGGCGGTTTGTGTGATTGTGTGTTCGTTGCAGAAAGAGGTTTGGCCTTGATAATTAGAATAGGGTTCCTTTGATTTGAAGGGTCTTTGGGGGGTACTATAAGGGCTGCTATGGGGGTTTAGTACAGGAGCCTTAATGATTGGAATGCAGGAAGTCAGTTTGTTCTTCGTAGGACCCTTTCAGGTCGGTAGATAAACGAAGTGTCGTGGGTTTAGGGTTTAGGGTTTTAGGGTTTAGGGTTGAGGGTTTTTAGGGTTTGGGGTTTAGGGTTGAGGGTTTTTAGGGTTTGGGGTTCAGGGTTTAGGGTTTTAGGGTTTTTGGGTTTAGGGTTTAGGGTTTAGGGCGTAGTAGGGTACTTTCATCGAACCGAATGCACCGGCTTACGGGCAGTGCAAAAGGCTTACAAGACTCCAGGCACGTCTGTACGAAACCCTAAACCCAGAGCCTACATACTACAACGCCAAGATAAGGAAGTCCGAACCATCCCCGAATGACCTTAAACCCCTGACGCCCTAAGAAATCATTCGAACCCTCAGAAATCCCCAAACCCTCAACCCTAAACCCAAAGATTCGAGGCCTTCTCCTTCGAGTGTGAGGTCACGGCGCACCAGGCCAGGTTGCCCGATAAAGACGGGTCGATTCAATTTTCAGGGTTTAGTTTTGGGGTTGCGGAGTTTGAGGGTTTAGGGTTTGGGTTAAGGGTTTGGCTTAGGGTTTCGGGGTGTAAGGGTTTAGGATTCGAGGTTTAGGATTCAGGTTCAGGGTTTGGGTTTAGGGTTAGGGGGCTCAATGTTTAGGGTTTCCCTAAGCGCTACACCCTAAACCCTAAGCAAAGACCGCCGCTTTCTCCAGCTAGCGCTGGCGGCGGTCGCTACCGCGTCCCCACCTGTGGGCGCGGTGCGTCCACGTGACGGGCTTAAGCCCTAGTGGACGCCGACTTGGATCCGTCCGGTGAGGACGGTCGACGCTTAGAGCTAGTGAACCTGCGTGCAGGCGACAGTCCTGCAGTATATACTGATTACCCTAAACCCCAACATTTGTAGTAACGTCCTAGGATTTAGGATTTAGGGTTTAGGATTTAGGATTTAGGGTTTAGGATTTAGGGCTTAGGGTTTAGGATTTAGGATTTAGGATTTAGGGTTTAGGGTTTAGGGCTAAGGTTACTCATCCAGGCACTTCCCAAGACCTGGACAGGCCAACGACCTGCTCTTTCTTACGCCTACTTGTCCCGGGCCCCCCCCAGGACACTTGTCCCGGTTTGTCCCGGGCCCCCCCCGGGACGACTGCCTTGGAAACTTCAAATCCAAGAAATTCAAGGAGCCTTGGAAATGGCCTCCGGAAAAAGAGCGGGCACTGCAAAATCGACGATTTTTGTGCTTTTGTGGGTTTCCCACCCATGTCGGCGGCCTTGGAAGCCGGAAATCCGAGAAATACAAGGGGCCTTGTAAATTGCCTCCGGAAAAGGAGCGGGTACTGCAAAATCGACAATTTTGGTGCTTTTGTGTGGTTCCCCTTATTTCGGCGGCTTTGGACGCAGGAAATCCAAGAAATACAAGGGGCCTTGGAAATGGCCTCCGGCAAAGGAGCCGTGTGCGAACCGAGACCGGGCACGCCCCACGATTTGGAGTAACGTCCTAGGATTTAGGATTTAGGGTTTAAAAGCTTAGATTTAGAATCTAGAATTTAATTCAATCCAATAAAAACCCTAAACCCGACAAGGTTGAGATGTGGGTGGGCGGGTCGGGCGAGAGCGTTGCACACTTGCGCGCACCACAACACACGCCTGCGTGGTGGTGCGCGCGGAACGTTTAGCAAACCCTAAACCCTAAACCCTAAGCCCTACCCCCCCAGCCCTAAACCCTAAACCGTTTCGGGTTTGGGGTTTCAGGTTTCAGCGGGGAAGTCTAGTTGGACTTAGAATAAGGGCACCCCAAACTAGTATGGCTACTCTTGTGGCGACAAAGCAGGAAGGTTGAGGTCATTGGGGTTGGGGGTTTTGGGTTTAGGATTTGGGATTCAGGGTTTGGGGCTTGTGGTGTGGCTTGGGGTCTTGTGTCGAGGGATTTTATTGAGTCGGGATCCCGATGACAGACTTATCTGCTTTCTTCGAAGGATCATCCCGCGCCAGGCCACAGGTGTGAGCTTGACTTCCGTTGTCACGGTGGCCGCCGACGTGTTGAGCTACAGCTGCGATCCTGCTTTTGGTTGAGGGTCTAGGGTTTTTCTCCCGTAAGGTTGATAGTTAACCAGCAGAAGTTGCTGAAGCCAATCAGACAGGGTCATTTCCTTCCACAGTTTGCCATTTCAGCCTTGCTTGGACTCCCAGAAGCTGTCGGGCTTCGGGGTTTCGGGTTCCGGAGACCTACAGCCTCCAATCCTTCATCATGAGTGCAATGCTGCATTGTTGTTTTTCAGATGTTCTAAGGGTTTGCATGAGGGCGGCGCTGACCTCGCAAGCCCTAGGCCCACACACCTGACTTACCATCGGGTGTCGGCTTCCATTTTTTACAAGCGCATAATACAATTTACCCCAAGACCCCATTCTAATTATTTAGGCGCCTTATGGTATGTACACGGCTCCCACGTTTTCCTAGGGGAGGCATCTTAGCAATTCAACTCCTATGCGCTGCAACCTTACGTCATATAGGGGGTTAGATAAGTTCCAATACTACATTGGGGGGTTCCTTAGTATAACTCTTCTATAAAGGAGCCAAAAGCCCCAAGGCCTCCAGATTAAACACCAGGAGGGGAGGGGAGGTCAACAGTCTCAAAGCCGAAAGCGATTTGCGCTCCGACTTTATTTGCCCTGGATGGGTGTGAAGAACTACAGCCCTCTGGAAGCTTGCACTTACATGAACCGAAACACCGATCAGGGGAGCGTAACCTGCGCTATCAGAGACTCCAAGTGCATGGGTTAGGGTTTTGCATTTAAAGGGGTTGCAGAGGCTCACAGCTCAAATCTCTCAGGCTCTGCCACTCTGCTTTTCCACGGCGACAGTCAAGAGGAGTTGCCGCTGACAACCGGAAGCGGATGGTCCAAGTTTGAGACTTGGACGGACTGGACGGCTAAGGCGATACCCTACACCCTACACCCTAAGGCCTTCAAGCCTGCGGCTTGAAAGCCGTACAACGTTAAATCCTAAACACCAAAACATAGGTTCTACCGCACGGGCTCTTTACTGGGGCTGCGAGGCTAAGGTTTATGATCTTAGGGTTCTACAAGGCTTTCGGCTTCAGGACGCAGGGTTCAGGGTTTAGGGTTTTGAAAGCTCGGGTGCGAAATTTAGGAGGTAAGGGTCTGTAGGGGTTCGGGTACAGGGTTTGGGGTTTTAGATTCAGGATAGGATTTGGGGTTTACATTTTTTTCATGTAGGGTTGGAGGTTTTGTTTTTCGTGTTCAGCCCAGACCCTATATAATGGAACCCTTAGACCCTAAACCCGAAACCCTAAAGCCTAAACCCCACACTAAACGCCAAACCCTGAAAGCCTCAATGCACGAAGCCCCAAAACCCTAAGCAACAAAGGAGCTGGGCTGCGCACCGGAGGCCCGTCTCGCTGTTTTCGTAGGGGTTTAGGGTTTAGGCTGGAGGATTCAAGGTACAGGATTTAAGGGTTTGGGATTTTTAAGTTTATGGTTTCTGACTTGGTGTTAAAGCTTAAGGTTCCAGAGCTTGTGGCCTCTAGGGTTTAGGGCAAACAACTTCAGTCTCTTCGTTTTGTCAAGAGGATGAGGGTTTCGGACAGCCATCGCCGATTCCATGTGACAGGTCAGTTGGCTGAGCATCGTTGCCTCCACCGGCAAGTTGCGCTGCTTGGTTTCTGGATTTATCTTCTAGAGTGGGTAACCTTCAACGTTTTTGGCGTACTATATGGCCCTTATATAATGCCAACGTTTGGCCTTTGCGGGACCCGGAAGGCCCGAGTTGCGGAACACAAGGCCCTGAACCCTACACCCCAAGCTCTTCAGTGCTTCAGCTTCGGGCAGGAAGTCATATCCTTGAGTGTTTCAGGACTTGTTTCAGTGGCTTATGGTTACATACCGGAGTTTCTGAGTGTTCGCGGTGCCTTATTTTGGGGTCCTTATAATCAGGATCCTACTATTTCGGGTACCACATTAGGGGCCCTTATTTTCGCAAAAACTCCCATATTCCTAAACCCTAGACCATTTGTAGAACCCTTATAGATCCCTTAAAGGAACCCTTCAAGGGTCCCCTATTTTGAGGATGAGGAGATTGCGCGTCTAGGATAGCGGCTTTGAGTCTCAGGCTTATCAGAGGCTCTCTTTCTTGGAGCTTAGGCGCCCAAAGGCTTCAGAATCCACAAGAAACAGCGGCCCACGGCGATGTAGTGATGAGCCTTTTTTGGCCATAGGGTTTAGAGCTTTGGGCTTACGGTTGAGGGTTTAGGGTTTAGGGTTTAGGGGGTTCTAGGGTCTCAGGGGCCTCGGAGCCTCTGGAAACGCTTCTTATTATTATAATGATTATTAGTATGATTATTAGTATTAGTATTATTAGTATTATTATTATTAATATTATTATTTTTTAGTATTATTAATTAGTATTATTATTAGTATTATTATTAGTATTATTCTTATTGTCTTATCCCTCAAATAGGGGTATATGGTCCCAAATAAGGTCCACGAAGCCTCAAACCCAAAGGGCAATGCCCGGAGGCTACACGGCGCCAAGTGGCGCGAACGGGGGTGTTTCCGTCGCCGACGACAAGTTCTTTGGGCAGGACTGGGCTCCTAAGCGTAGAGCTTTGAAAGGGTTCTACTTGCAAGGGATTGGGAAGGGTTCTTCAATCATGGTTCTCTGAGTTTAGAAAAGTTCTGTAGAGTTTACAGTTGCAGGGTTTCTAGGTTTAGGTTTCCAGAGTTTCTAGGCTTTGCAGAGGAAGAACGCAAAGAACAGTAATCTCTCCAAATATGCGGGAGACGGTTCAGAGAGCTTAGGACCCTAAACCCTAAACCCCCCAAAAAGCAAACATCCAAAAATGCAGGACGGTGCCGTTTGCATCGTGACGGCTTGGCAGACCCACAAGAAGCGCCTTGCCCCAGAGGGTTTTCAGAGTGAAGAGGAGGGTTGGATGCAGAGCACTGGAGTTCAGGGTTAGGGGTTTTCCGTTTGGCAGGGTGGGGAGTTTATTTTGTTTGACTTCGTGTGAACAGCTTCTGTTTATGGCAGTCTATAGTTGCTAAAACCTCAGATCTTCGGGTATGTGGTTGGACGAGTGTGACGTCCCCATGTTTTCGTTCCTACTTAGCATCAGAGTGTGCGTTAGGGTCTAGGACTCAAGCAATGCAGTCGAGGTTCATGGGTAGTTAGAAGTGGGGTTATAAGTAGGGTAACTATACTTATGACCCGTATTCGGGGAGATATAACCCCACTTATCACTACCCTAAACCCCTAAACCCCTGAACCCCATAAACCCCTAAACCCCCCTAAACCCTATAGAATCCTCAAAGGAACCCTAAACCCCTATAACCCCACTTATAACCCCTGAACCTCCAAGTAGACATCAGCACCGTAGACTCCAGGAGCCCCCGACTTTCTCAAGCTTGGAAGCCCTGAAGCCACAGCATACAGGTTCCTACAATCAGTATTCTGAGGGGGTTCAAGGGGTCATAGTTACAAGATAGGGTTTAGGCGTTGAGGGGTTGAGGGGTTTAGGGGTTTAGGGAAGTGGGGTTATAAGTCCCCAGTGTGGGTTATAAGTATAGTTACCCTACTGATAACCCTGCTTATAAACTGCCTATGAACCTCCAAGAACAGGTTCGTACAATCAGCAGGTCTGCCCTCTTCTAATCCCTACATACATTTATAGCATACCATACACCAAAACTTAGAGACGTAGACTATCGTATCTATACCATATCATGATTGTTCCCTGGGGTTGCTTCATAAATATAGTATGGTACACCCCGAAACCTTGCTCTAAACATGGAATGCCCCTTTAGCAGACTCAGACTCTTGCCGGTCTAGGCACCCATTCGCTTTGAGGTCGCAAGCCCGTAATCCCCCAAAGCCTTAAGCCTCAAACGGGTTAGAGTTTGGGTGTTTGGGGGGGCTTCCGGAGTTTGGGAGTTTTGTAGGTAGGGGTTTCGGGGTTCAGGTGTCAGGGGTTGAGTTGAAGCCAAAAACCGAGGCACCAAACCACATTCGTGGCCATTCGGCCGCGACCCTGGCCAAAGCTGGAGCAACTTCAAACAGCACTCACGGGGGGCTGTTTTGGGACTTTGGGTTAGTCGTCGGGCTTTAGCGTTTGGGGCTTCAAAGTCTTTCGGGTATACCCTGGATGAATCAACGCAGTTTCGTTAAGTATATATGTATACACGTACATGCATGCACACACAGACATATATACGTTCACCCACATATATATATATATATAGATAGATGTATGTGCGTATGTGTATATGTGTAAGACGTATATGTATCTGTACCCGTTTCTGTTTAGTTTTGTTTTTGCATCTTTTCATATGTATATATATATACACATGTACACACACGTATACATATGAAATCATACATATATATATATATATATATACATATATATATATATATATATATATATACACAGATAGATTCAGATATGGATACAGAGAAAGATACAGTTAAAGATCAAGCAACTAGGGATATGGGTATAGATGTAGATATTGGCATACATATACCCATGCCAACAACGATGTGAAGAACGATTCAGGAAAGTCTCCCAGTGGGGAGTGTTTGTGGCAGAGTGTGCAGTTCGCCGGGTCGGGCGTACGATGCAAAGTGGCAGGTATTGCCCGACAACAATCTAAGACCTTGAGCCCAAAGGCCCCAACCTTTCCGTTGGTTAGTAGGGAATGGAAGAATGGTAGTAACAGTAGTTATAATTGTACCCCATTCCTCCATTCCCTACGGACCAAAAGTAAGCAACACCAAAGTCTCAGTCTCTGCACCAAAACCAAGAGCAGCCAAGCATCGAAACAGTTGGTAGATGTTTAAATGGGAGTTTCCAAAAACAGGGGACCCTAATATGGTACCCTAAATAGTAGGATCATTATTATAAGGACCCCCCCAAATAAGGTACCCCCAATTTTCGGAAACTCCCACATCTTTAAATGTTGAGTAAGCCTCGACACCAACGTCGGGTCTGGGGACCTTGGGCTGGCTTAAGGGTTTCGTAGGATTAAGGGTGTCCGTGTTTTTTGGTTTTGTGGGGTTTAGGGTTTAGGGTTTAGGGTTTCGGGTTTAGGGTTTCAGGTTTCGTGGGTTTCGGGTTTAGGGTTTAGGGTTTTGTGGGGGTTTAGGGTTTCAGGTTCTAGGAAATGGCAGCAACTTGAGGATCATGACAAATGTTCATCTACCCAAGCCGAGGTATGACTTGGATGCCGTGGCCGTGAGTGTCGGTGAGGACCTGCACCCACTTAACCCGAAGCCGCACAAAGAGCAGGGCCTCATGAAGCCATGGCACCCTGCCAACAATTCAGGACTGATTTTTTCTGTGGCAAGTCGGGGATGGGTATTTAAGTTCCCTTATTCTTCTGATAGAGGTGATAAGGTTGGGGGCTCTTCATCTATTCTAGGCTACGGACAGGGGGCCATCGATGATGCAAGGTGAGACCCCTTTACTTGGGTTTAGGGTCCTCAGGGTTTGGCTTTTCCGAGTGAAGTGGGTGGAGTCTCGGTCTATTTGGCTGGGGTTTCTTACTTGAACCCTGAGTGCAAGCGCAAGCTGTCTGCGACCGGGGCTGAACATATATTCACTTCATCCTCGCAAAAGTATATCTTAGTGGGTCTTGCGTTTAAGCGCTTTAGACTTTGGATCCTTGTTTTTGTTCCATCAAGTCATCCTGTGACCCTATCTCATGATGACTCATGGTCGGATCGCCGAAACCGAGTAAGTTCTCGCGCGCTCGCGTGCCTGAATGAAACGCTGAGGACGTTCAGCATGGCCTGCGACGTCAGTGGTGCGGCAAGCTCTACGAAGTTCACCTGTGACCGGATCTTGAACATGGGCCGCTTTGCTGCTTCGGGGCCCCACTGTGGTATACATAGGATTTTCACGCTACGGAGGGCCAGAACAGGGGTATTTGGAGGACTACCTCAGGGAGCAGAATTCTCCTTCAAGTTTTTCTAGGTCAATCATGACGGCTTAAAGTTTAGGGTTTTAGGGTTTAGGGTTTTGGGGTTTTAGGGTTTATAGGGTTTAGGGTTTTAAGTACGTGAAGGATGAGTAATGATACTCTTGTTGCCTTAGAAGACAACGAGGCACCGTGGTTTTAACCACTCAAATGGCGAAGCTCTTGGGTCTCGGTAGGGTAGACTTCACCTAGGGCCCTAAACCTTAACCCCCTTAATCCCTAAGCGGTCACACTAAAGGAACCCTAAACTCTTTGGGGTCGTTGAGGGAAGAAGCTCAGCCTGCGAAGCTGGGTTGAGGGTTTAGGGTTTAGGGGGTTCTTGCTAAACTCTACCCTAAGCCCTGATGCCGTAGAATCGGAAGCATGACGCCCGAATAGAAGGGAACCTTCTACTCCAAAGATCTGGCTTCTGATGAAGCTCCCATGTCGGAACCCGCGCCGCAAAGAGGCGCTGGGGCTGTAGGGCTCCGTGAAGCCTACGACTTGGAAAGAAGGGGTCTCGCGAACACACATGTTTGGCGCACTTTTCCTAGAACCCTGAAGCCCTGAAGCCCTAAACCGTAAACGCGAAACCTTTCGGGTCCAAAACCTGGCGTTATCATGGTACGGATCCGAGGACTTCTGGACGGCCACCCGATCCTCGACATCAGCCCGGACGGAGCCATCACGGTGGCGCCAGCGAGCACCCTCAGCATCCTGGTCCACAAGCAAACCGCGGTTCGAGCGCAGATTTCGGGGTTGGGCTTGCGGGTACAAGGTATATAGTTCCTACCCCTGGCGTGGTGGTATCGTGCTCTTTGGCACCACGTAGTCTTGGTTCTGTTTGTGGGAAAGTGTGCCACCCCGCGTGCCGATTCTGTTGGCCTTGCATGAAGATATGGCTGGAATGGTCGTGAAACTGACCCTAAACCCTAAGCCCTCCAAAACTCCAAGCCCTACGCATATCATATGTGCGAATAGCAGGAGCCCCAAAGCAAGTTTGAGGTGATACCTGGTAAGCTTGTGCTGTTTGTTTCTGGGTTTAAGTCTTCAGTGGTTTACACTTGAGGGCCTAGGCTTATGGGTTCAACGAATTTTGTTTTGGGCTGTCGGTTTTACAGTCGAAGGTCGAAGCCTGTCTCTTCAAAGCCACACTCGTGCTTCATGCCTACCCGAAGTTACCCTTAGTACTGCACATTGCGGGGCGCTCTAGAGATAGCCCTTACAGAGTGCTGCAGCCTTGTCAGTTCCTGTTGCTCCCAATGTCTTTCCGGTATGTTTGTCGGTATGAGATTTATGTCGTATGGCTGTTGCAGAAGACGGTGTGACGAAGTTCAGGTGAGCTGTTCGATGCACTCAGCGTTTCGGGATCGCAGCGGAAGGCAAGACTTGCTTCCTCCGAATCATCCTCAACCCCAAACCCCTTAGCCCCGCAACCCTAAATGCTAAAAACTCCACGAAATACCAGTCCAGCACCTGCCAATCTGCTTCCTGTAGGCGTAAAGTCTTCGTTTAGGGTTGAGGTTCTAGGGTGGTAGAGGCTTATGGATTGCTTGTGCTAGTGCACCCGTGGAACAGTAGGCGGGCTCAATGGGTTTAGGGTTCAGGGTTCCCTAGGCAAGATTACAGCAGGGTTCATACAGAACGGTTTGGTGCCTGTATATCGCGTATGACGCTCATATAGTATTATACAACATAACATAACATAACATAACATCAAATGACATAGCAGCATACAAGAAACAGCATAACATAACTCTATCATAATGTATCAATCTAACATAATATAGCATAGTACCATGTCATATACTGCAATATGACATAGTATAGTGTAATACGAATGAGTATGAAGCAAAAACATGTAATGCAAGATATCATAATACAACAGTATGTAACATCATGAAGCACATTATAAGACAGTGCAGAATTGTATAGGACGGTATGGTTCAAGAAAGTATAACGCAGAATGTACCGGTGTGCATGTATGTATACAGACATATACATATATGTATATATATATATATATATATGTATATATATACATATATATATATATATATATATATATATATGTATATATATATATATATATGCGTATTTTTGTTTGTAGACAGAGACAGAGACAGAGCGAGAGACAGAGCGAGAGACAGAGAGAGAAGGAGAGAGCGAGACAGAGAGAGAGCGAGCTCGAAGATACTGCAGGTCCTACAGCCCCACCTACCAGAGAAGGCTTTCAACAACAAGTCTGAGCCCCTAAAGCCTCAGGCTGTGGGAGTTCAAAACATACCGTGGTTCAGGGCTTAGGGACTGAGCCTTGAGCCGCCCCCTCCTAAGCCCTATCCCAAACCCTTCCTTCAGAACATCCTTTTGCAACAGCTAACCATTGTAAAGCACTGTAAGGCAGCTGCAAAGCCCTAAGCCCTGAAATCCTGAAGCCAAAACCCACCCCGAGTCCTGAACCCTAATGCCGAAATCCCTAAACCCTCAAACCCTTAACCCTGAACCCCCCCTGAATCCTCAAACCAACCCATCCCGAAGTTCCCAAGAGGCCTTCACTTTGGGATGCCGGGTCTTCGGCCTCTTTCCCGATCCGGATCTGCCTCCGGCACCCCTGCTGCCAGGGTTTCATAGCGGTTTACGTGGCCTTGCAGGGTTTCGTGGCGTCATTTTTGGCGGGGTGTCATGGGGTGTTGTAGGATTTCTGTTAGTCAGGCTTCTTTAAAGTTTTTCTGTGCGGTTTTGCATGGTGTTATGGTTACGTTTCTGGGTGGATTGATTTGTAGGACCCTTTTATCAGGCTTCTTGAACTTAAGGGTGCCTTGACTTAAGGATGCCTTACTTCGGAGCGGCGTGTTGTCGAGGTGTCATAAGTCGTATACGGTTTTCCAAGGTTTTACACAGGCTTCTTTTTTCTTAAGCACAGGGCCTTACTTTCGCACTTTCGGACATTCGAACAATGTCGTGCTTAGAGGGCTCCGCAGGGTTTGTATGAATTACCGATTCTTGAGCCCGCGCCTTTGAGCCCCATAAATCTTAAGCCATCTTAGACACTAGGACCAGAAATCCTAAACTGACCTAAACTCCAAGCAGGCTTGACTGGGAGTTTGGGGATTCTCATTGCAGCTAAAATCAACTGCCGCCGACTGGGCAGGTTAGAACAAGACCTTATAGGATCCTTAGGGAGTACTAGGGGGAATTAGGGATCACTAGGCTATATACCCCCCTTGGACCCCCCTCCCTTAAGGATACTACAAAGACCCGCAAGGGGCCGTGATGCCCGGTGAAGGAAAGCAAGCCCTGACGGCCGCTGCAGCCCTAAACGCTAAACCCTGGAGCCCCAAACCTTACACTCTGAAGCCCTAAACCCTGAAGCCTAAACCCTAAACCTTAAACCCAAAACCCTAAACCTTAAACTCTAAACCCTAAACCCTCAACCCTAAACCCCTAAACCCCTAAGCCCTAAGCCCGGCTCTGAACGCCTAAAGCGCGTAAGATTTTAAGACTTTCAGAGCGCGAGACTCTCAGATTCATCTTCGACTCAAAGGTCTCTGGCACTTGACAAACAGACGGTGTGGATGGATTTACAGTCTGATTGTTAGTATGATCATAGCAGTACTGTTGATTTTTTTGTAGGTTTTAGTAGTACTATTACCCAAAGCATTGCTAGGGTTTCAGGATTCAGGGAAACCGGGCTTCGATCTGTCCTACATTCCAAGACTGAAAAGTCGCCGTCACAAGCAGGTCTTCTGTGTTGCTTTGCGGTGCTTTTGTAAGGAGTCTGTTGGTTTAGCGTCTAGTCCTTGATTTAGGGTTTAGGCCAAGGCGATGGCTGTGACGGTAAGTATTTTCTATGCCGGGTCTTGGAAGTCAGTAAGCCCAAACTCGGACACCCTTCTGCACCTTGCACCCCCAAGCCCTGAACCCCAAGGCTAACATCCTAAACCGAATTCGTACGATCCCTTGCTCTGAAGATCCCAAGCCCGATTTGTTGAGGTGGAGACGACGCTGAGCATCGTAGTGCAGGATACCGTGTGCTGGGTTCCACAGAACATCCAGGCAACTCGCCATCAAGCTGTCCAGCTCTTTTCGTAGATGGCCTACTGTAGGGGCCTCAACAAGTAGAGTAGGGTTTGGGGATATGTTGTACTTTCTTATAAATAAGGAACCCCCCATAACCCTATTCCAATTATTGCCCCCCCAACACTAAGGCAGAATAAAACTATGACGGGACTTCAGCTCGTGTGGTTGTGCAGGGTAAAGGGGCTATATGCTGCTTTAGGGCTGCAAGGTTAGGGTTGTAGACTCTTGAGAAAGGGTTGTGGCTTCCTTGGGCCTGAGGGGTTTTGGGGACGCAGCTGGGATTAGTAGAGTGTCGCGTTCAGGGTCTAGGGATTTAGGGTTTATGATATTTTAGGATTTGTGGTTCAGGGTCTAGGGTTTAAAGGTTCAGGACATCGAGGTTAAGGTGTTCTATACAAAAGGCGAATGCAAAGTGCCAAACACTAGGCAGCACTGCGTTAAGGAGCGTGCGCTTTGCAGTAACCTGACGCTTGTCCCGGTCCTCTACACAAAACACCGGATTTCGCGGACTGGAGCCTTCGTAAGGTTAGATTCCCCCAACAAAGACGATCCTTTAGTTCGATCGAGAAGTTCCATCACGTGAGCAACACCACTAAAGCATGAGCCCCAAAAGCCCTAAGCCAGAAACAGACTTAGCAACGTTAAACCTTGAACCCGAAACCTTCAAAGCCACAAGAGCCATGAAACCTAGACCCTAAACAAGATCTGCTTAAACCCATCGTGCGAGAGTACTTGCTTCTGAGCCAAAACTTCTGGCATCCCCCTCAGCCCTACGCCCTCAAGGCCTACAGCCCGAAAGCCAAAGCCTCTGAAGACCTGAACCCAAAGCACCCTGAGCCATGCAGCTTAAAGCCCTAAGAAAAGGGTCCCAAACACCGAACACCAAAACCCTAGAATCCCGAAGCCCCAAGATCCGAAAGCCCTACAGCCCTGACACTCAACCGCTAAATCCCTAAGCCCCTAAGCCCCAAAACCCTGAACTCCCCCCCTCAAAAGAAGCCCACTTAGAGCTGCCAGGGCACTGGCCTGCCTGATCCCAGCGCCAGTACCGAGGTCCTCCCGAGTTGAGCTCCTTTTTGCCTGAATGGGCTGTTCAGGAAAGTGTGTAGGTCTCCAGTTCCGGGTGTTTGCAAGGAGAGGAGGGTTTACCGTATGGGTTCAGGGTTTGGGGGCTTAAGGAACATGGGTCACTTTCTGGGATTTTCGGGTGTAGATTAAGCATGAAGCTTAGGCAAGAGGCCATGACACTCCGAGAGCCTCCTGTTGGGATCTGAATGAGTAGTAACAGTAGCATCTTGTCATCGTCCTTCCAGATTAGCCGCTCATGTACCCCAAGCCAAATGCCAGTTGGATTACTCTGGCCCATGTTTCAGGCCGGTTGCGGCCGACCTGACTCAACCGAGAGCCGGAAAAAGCCCTGGATAACGCTCAAAGCCAGCGTCGGGGTGTAATTCTTCAGGCCCCTTCTATTGTAGAACCGTCTCCGAACCGTTTAAAGAGGCCTCTCAGGGCTCCTTTAAGGGTTCCCTCAAGGGATCCTTTGAAGGATCCTTGAAGGAACCTTAGAGTTTCATTATTTTCCCGAGACATGATGAAGCTTCTGAGCCCCTAAGGTCTTAAGGCTCAGAACTGGTGTGAACTCCCGACCTGTATCTGTACTATAGGTGCCTTAACGAATAGTCACCTATTCTATTTGGGGGCTTCCTTAATATGATTACAGTATCATGGGTTTTGGGGTTTAGGGTTTAAGATTAGGATTTAGGGTCTAGCGTTTTAGGGTTTCATGGTTTAGGGTCTCATGTTTGGCTTTAGGGTTTAGAATCTGGGAATCTCAAGAAAGACGGGGTGTTTGGAGCCCGCAATAGTTGATCCTCGTGGGACACTGAAGCGAGGTACCCCTTGCCTGAATAAATTGGCATAACTCAGGGAATGCTGCGGATCTGAAAACCTTGTCGTTTGGATCATTAACGCAACTAACGGCACCTTGTGCTGAGGGCATGTAGGTTTCGTGTTCATACATGAAACCCAAAAGCCTAAATCCCAAACCTGGATCTAATTTACTTTCTTTCTGCTTGATTCTGCTTGTCTACCTAGCAACTGTTCGTAAGCCCTTATACCCTCCACCTTCAAACCTTGCACCTGAAAAGCCCTAAACCGCAAACCCCAAGAGGCCAAGTGCAGATCCCAGTGCCGCGCAGACGAAACCTGTGCGAACTACAAGTTTGACAGCCAGTGTAAGAGGCGGGGTAAACCTGAACTCCTCTTGGGGTCCTTCTTCAAGATAATGTTTCGAAGAACAATCGTAAAATTAATGATAGTAATTCGGTACATGGGGTCCTTCTCTGGGCTTTTGGAGGGCCGGACTGGGTTCTTTTGCTTTCTCGTAGGGTTTTGGCAGTGGGTTCAGGTCTCTCCACGTCTGAACCCTGAACCTTGAAGTGTACGTAAGGTTTGTGGCGCTTCACTTCATCTGTGGTTCCTGAGTTGGGGTTCAGGTTTCGACCCTAAACCCTAAACCTTAAAAGCAATAACCCTAAACCCTGAACCCCTAAACCCCTCAGCTAGGCCCTAAGCCCTTAATCTTCGCTACGTGCCGCAGGTACGATGTTCGCTCGGACGGGAGCCCGGTCACGGTCATCGCCAAGGTCACGAACTGCACCAACGAGGGTACCTGCTTCCTGCCTGCAGGGAACTTTAGGGCCGCAAGTGTGGGGATCATTACAAACCTTAGGGGTACTGAGAACTATTTTTAATTTTTGGTTTTTCAGTCCCTAAGAAACAGCTAAAATTGCAATTTTTGCTAGGGTTCTAAGTTCAGTATAGAAACCCAAAAACCTAAACTTTAAACTGTAGGGTTTAGGGTCTAGGGGTCTGAAACGCTCACCGTTGCTACCGTCCAGAAAGAGCAGTTACATTGACACTTCTACACTTATCCACTAACGACTTCGCATCGGACCGTTGCGATTGGGCCAGGTTCCCTGGGTGCGTCCGCAGTGTTGCAAATCTCAGCATCTAGTCTTTAGTTCCCAGACTATCGACATGCCGGACTCTAACCCTAATGCCCCAAGTCCTCAACCCCCAAAAGCCATAAGCCTCAACTTCTAAACGACTGGCTCATAGTAAAAGTAGGCACAAGACTCTGAGTTGTTCAGTTTTTGCATTCTGAAGACATGTTTGCTATGCTTATTATGCTCATCGCCCTGGCCAGAGCCTGGTGATAAGAACAAGTACTTACGCACAACAAGCATAGCATGCAATAGGAAGAAACACAAACCCAAAACCCTAAACCCTAAACCCTCAATACCAAGCCGGGCCCGGCGGTGGTATCAAGAGCCGAAAGAACTTCAGAACTTCCGTGTTTCGTGATTTTTGCAGGTATGAAAGTGACACATTCCGAATGGTACCTCGCCGGTACATATTGTCCTCTGGGCAGAGATGCAGTATTGGGTGGCATTGTGTACCTTCGCGAGCACGTGACGCAGCAGGACATGGTGCAGCTTGGACACCTGATGCAGGGCTTGCTGCTGCCGGCTTTCTGTGGATATCGTTATGCGCTAGGCTCCGAATTTCGGTTCTTCAGTTTGGTACTCCTCCCAATCGCTGTGGAAGACTTCGAACGGAACCGCAAATTCAAGACAGTTCGCATTGGACTGAAGCAGTTTTGGGATGAGGTTGGCACTCGCAATCGAGAGAGAGAGAGAGAGAGAGAGGGAGCTTTCAATCTCTATGATTCAGAAGGCAAAAGCACAACTCCGAAGTTCCATGAAACTCCAACCCACATGTCAGCTCTGCAGCCGACAACAGTGAATAGCCAGGCTCCCAAGATCGTTGGAGGTTGGGTGCACTTTCTTCTGGTAAACTGTAAACCCTTCTTCCAGCACCGCAAGCATCTGCGAGAAGCCTGGAAGGTCATGGCCCCTAAACGGCCACAAACGGAAACTAGGGTGAGTACTAGCACCGATCATCATGTTTGCAACCCAGCGATAGCTTATTGGCCTTCCACCCCTGCAACGCCTTAGAAGCACGGAAGATTCTACCCGAAACGACCCCCAGTATTTCTCTGCCGGTAAATTTCTGAAGCATCGGGTCTTCCAGGTATCTGCGTGAGGGATCCAGCGGCGGCTGCGGTGCCAACGAGTGGGCGTTGATGGCACCTTCAAGTGCAGACTTCATCGACAAGGCCAATTGGGGTATTGAGGGTTTAGCGTATGAGAATTGTTTGCAAACCGCAATCCCTGTCTGGATGTTGGTTTGGGTCGTTTAGTTTGCCCCCGCCCCCCTGCATGGGCTTATTGAAAGCCAAGACCATGCATCGGGGCCTAGAGCACAAGAATCCGGATGAAGCTGCGAATCCTGGTTTCGATGTTGGGCTGGGAGGATCAAAGTCTTGGTAGATGGTGCTGCTTTCGGTGGTTTTGCTGCCAGGTCCATGCGGCAGTGGGCAGGGCTGCTCTACAATCCATGGCCACAGATAGAGAGAGACAGAGGCACACAGAGAGAAGCACAAAGATACAAAGAGACACAGAGAAAGATAGAGCCACACCGAGACACGGAGAGACACAGGGAGGCACAGAGAGACACAGACAGACACAGGGAGACGCACAGAGACAGACAGAGACAGACCAAAGCACTGTCAGGCTCTCGGCCTTTTCGAGCTCCGTGGCACCCGGCACGCCTGCATCAGCAGCTCCACTGTGGAGCACGCCCTTTTGTGGTGCCGAGCTCAGCTGTGTCGACGTGGGGGTGTCGAAGCCAAATCCAATTTTGCTTAAGGTTGGGGAGAGGATCAGGAGGGGAAAAAGGTTATCGGAAGAGAAAGAGGGAACCTCTGACCATGGCCGAGGCGAATATATAGAAGCTTGAAGAATTAATAAAATAGTATTACTATGCCGTAGATTTCAGCAACAAAACAAAATCCCCAAGCCTTGTTCTGAATATTAAGGCGCATGTGACTGCGACATGAGGGTTGAAAGCTTTCGGTTTGGTTTCCGGTGCTATGATCCAGACTTTAGGGGTTGCACTTGAGAATATATGTAGGCCAGGCTTCAGGCACTCAGTTCACAAGAAAGGGATCGACTTTACAATAGGGTTTGGCGGTTATAATACGCTAAAACACTGAGGAGCAGTACTGGCAAGCAATGAGGCTTCTATATTGCACGGGTCTGATTAGTTAGCCATACTATCCTTAGGATTACCTGTCTTGGCCAAAGTACAATGTACCACAAAAAATTCGTAAACCGATTGTTAAAGACCCTAAACCCTAAACCCTGAACCCTAGAGGGAGCGAAGGGCAAGAGCGTGCAGGGTGAGAAGTGAGGGTTTGGGTTGCGTGGCTGTGCACCATCCCACCATCCTCTCCTGGCCGTTTAAGGCCTTCTTTCTGAGACCTCTCATGTTCTGACGGGAAAAGGAACCCCCCCCACAAAAAATAGAACCAAAGCCCTGAACCCTAAACCCTTGGGAGGATCGAGCGGGCGTAAAAAGGAGTTCAAAAAAAAAACCCTAAACCCTGGCCCCAACAGGTGTCCCACGAAGGCGCTGGCTTGGATCGAAGAGCAGGTGCGATTTTCCTACTGGGTGATTATCAAAATTAGGGTCCCGTTTTGGGTCCTTATTATAGTACGGCACCTATTATGTAAGATACCGAAAAAAGGAACCCTAATTTTGACAACCACCCTAATGTGAAGCCCTAAGCCCCTGCAATGGACGAAGATCCCCAAGGAAAGGCTGAGACCCTGTCCCTGAATGGATGTAGCAATCACGATCCTACGGGAACGAGGCCACGAAGACATTGCACAGTTGGAAAACTGCATGCAACGGTGGGGTTTCAAAACTGCTCGTGAAAGCTGCGGAAGGCGTCTCGTTTTCAGGGTTTCGATTTGAGGTGATTGAAGGGTTTCTTGAACCCTAACTCCATAAGGGAACCCTGATAGGAAACCTTATAGGAACCCTTATAGGAACCCTCAACGGAACCCTTAGAGGAACCCTTAAAGGAGGCCCTTGTAAGGGGTGTACTCCTCTGATTCGGGCCAAGGAGAGGGGATTGGCACGGGGCCTTCGAAAGGCTCGGCGACCTCCACCTGAAATGGGGGTCGGAAATTGTTGCCAGTAGGGCTCTTTTATCGTGTTTGTATTATCATATACTCCAAAACCCTGCTCTAATTGTGAAGGCCCCTACGGTACATTACCCTGATTCACGTCGGTATCAAGTGCACGGCGCTTCGTTTCCACAAAAGTGTCCAATCAAAGCAAAGCTTCAAGTTTCGGGTACATGCCCGGCCTGCCTCTATGAGCCCGAAACACTAGAACCAAATCCAAGTAAAACAGGACGAGGACTCATTAAGCCGTAGATCCTGAAGCCCTTTAACCCGCTGTGAGCCTAAATCTCTGAATCCAAAACCGAAAACCTTAGAGCCGAAACACTTAAAAAAAGCTGAAAAACCCTAAGCCCTACAGCCTAAAGCCTGAGAAGCCCCGTGTGACACGGGAAGAGGATAAGGATACCTTATTTGGGATTCCTTATAACAAGGATCCTACTATTTAGGGTACTATCTTGGGGTCCCCTATATTCGGATCAAAGGCTCCATGTAACCACAGGAAGAGGATGAGGAGGGCCAAACGGCCCTGGTCCTGGATGACCCCGGGACCGCTCAGCCGGCCGACTTTTGGCTACATCCCTGCGACTGTGGCTCGGCTTTTTCCGATCTTCGTAGCATAATACATCGGCCTAAATAATTCTAATAGGGTTCCTTTAAAGGCCTCCTTCTAAGGGGTTCATAGTAGGGGTCTTTGAGTTTGGGGCCTTCATAAACAGACTAGGGTTCTGGGGCCCACTATACCATATAGTTATAATAGCCCCCAAAATAGTTTAGGTAATCCGTATAAGGCACCTATATGGGGCTGCGTTAAGGGGTTTCTTCATGGGTCTCTGCATGCTGCAGGCATTCCTTTCAAGGTACCTTTGATCGGGCTATGGGCTAAGGGCCTAGTGGGGATCCAAGGTCTGCGGTTTAGGGTTTGGGGTAGAACCCTGAGCCATAAACCCTAAGGCCGTAAATCCCTAAACCCTTACAAACCATGGGCCGAGGATGAGAAAGCAATGGGTCCCCTGAGAAACGTCTTGAGAAACCCTACCATCCTTCCCCAAACCCGCAAGGCCCGTACCCCAAACCCTTCCCTAAACCCCAAAACCTTGGGACGCTAAACTCCAAACCCCTAAACCCTAAACTTAGGGGTACTTAGAAATAATTTTCAATTTTTGGTGATTATAATAATCCCTAAGAAACAGCTCAAATTATAAATTTTTCGCTAGGGTTTTAAGTTCAGCATAGTACACGCAAGCCCCACAACGTCGCAACATCGTCGGACCCAAGCCCTTCCACGCCCCTTAGCCTTGATGCGATCTCGAAGGTGCTTGATAATAAGGGTACCTTCAAGGGATCTATAGGGTACCTTAAAGGGATCTATAAGGGTTCTATGAAGGTTTTAGGGTTTCCGAAGATTAGGGATTAGGATGCCCAGTAGTACCCTTATTCCCTTTTTGTAGTCCTAGGTTCCTTATAAAGTTACCCAATACCAAAAAGAGAGGCCTTTTTATTCTTAGGTTACTGGGTATCCTAGTTGATCTAGGGTTCAGGGAGCCGTTGTTCAAGCAAGAATCTGCAAGAACGCACCCAACAAAACAGTCCGAGTTGGTTAGGGCTTCAGGGTTTAGGGCTTTAGGGGGTGTTAGAGTATATGGCATAGGTCTCGGGGTTTAGGGCCCAAGGTTTCATTTCTGGATGCGCATCAGACCTCTCGAGCTTTCAGAAGCCCTTGCGGAAGACTTGACTTCAAGCAAAGACTCCAAGCGCAAAAGGAGGGACTCTTAATAAGGACCCCTAGATATATACCCTTAATACAGCTATGATATACCCATTATATAGCCCATTCTAGGGTAGGGGTCCCCATTCAGGGTCCCTCCTTTTCCCCTTCGAAAGACAACAACTTCTCGGAAGAGCCCTGAACTTGATTTTGTGGTTGGCTGGTTTGCTGGAGGTCCATCGAAACATAGTCTACATGGAAATACCCCAAACCCTTGAGCCCTTGACCGGGGCGTTCCTGTGGAGTCACGTTATTTTGCAGTTTAAACATGGTATTGGTGTATGTTATGAGCCGACAATCCGGGCTTGACGGAGGGGCGGGAAGGGACATGCGGTAGAGCCCAGGGCCACACGAAGTGAGCTGAAAGTTCCGGAAGTCGAGCTTGTCTCAGCAAAACTTGGATTCGCACACATCTTTTGCAATTGGACACTGCGAAATGACAAATGACACACGTGACAAGCCCTAAACCCTAAAGCGTAAACCCTAAACCCTGAAGCCCTATTCACCCATAGGAAAATGCAAGCTTGTGAGCAAGAGACGCTTCAGGTTCCCCGGGTTCCAAGACAGAGCCAACTAACCAGAGACTGCAATATCCAGAATATGCCTTAAACCATATTAGGGATCCTGCTATAATTTAGGGTAGATTCATGAATGAAGGGATGTTGGCGTCTGTGGGTGCAAGCAGTCACACAAGACGCACGAGATTTTATGAGTCAGGGGCGCCTGCTCAGCGTGACGAATCATTGTGGCTCCGTTTTCTAGAAGGACCTTCATAAGAAATCTTCCCCCACTAAAGGAACCCTTCAAGGAACACTAGTTTTTTTATCTGCTGGCCCTTAAAACCCACCCTTTTTCCCAGGTGCCCCAGATGCCTGGGGACCGGATCTGCCTGTGGATCCTCAAATGTACGAGCATCTCCCGGCGGCTTGGCTTTAAGGGGGGCTTAAAGGGGGCTTAAAGGGGGCTTAAAGGGGGCTTAAAGGGGGCTTAAAGGGGGCTTTAAGGTGGCTTTAAGGGGGCTTTAAAAGGGGGCCTTTTAAAGAGGGCTTGAAGAGCATGGAGTTGTGTATGTAGCTATCCTGCTATGGGTTGGAGGGTGACTACTGGTTTTCATAAGGCTCTGGGGTTTAGGGTGTGGATAGGGTTTAGGGTTTCTGTCGGTAGCCACAAGAACTTGATGGTGATGTCGGAACTTTCATCGGTTCACTAAAGGCACTAAAGGTGAGATCGGGCTTTCATAGGAAATGGTGGATCTTCGCGTGTAGGCACGGCGCGGGGTTTTAAACTTCTGCTGCCGTTTCGTATTGGTTTTTGCATACTATAGGGGCCTAAAGAATTACCAATGCTACTTTTTGGGGTTCCTTAATAAGATTATAGGAAAATGGTTTCAAAACAAAACTCAATTATTAAGGCCCCTATGGTTCCGACGATTCTGCTTCTTGGAGTCTTCATGGGGCTTGGAGTGCTGCTTTCCAGGCTATACAGATATACATCCTACGTGCTAGAACCCTAAGCCCTGAAAATTATAGCCTTCAGCCCTAAAGCCTGAAGCCCTGAACCCAAAGCCTTCTAACTTTCAAAGATTCGGAGCTGACAGTACCGCCTCCGGAAACTGTGGGCATCCAGTTGTCCTAAGCCCCAGAAGTTTGCGGGTTCGGGGTGTAGGGGTTCAAGGTCCCAAGCCCCAAAGTCCTACAAAGCTTATACACAGAAAGGCGAAGTAAGGGCTCTTGTTGCTTCTGGGCTTCGGAAGCGTCAGGGTTGGGGCATGGGGTGGTTTGTGTTGGGGTTTAGGGTCTCGGGGTTTAGTAGGGCTTGGGAGGATCGGGGGTTCGGGGAACTGGGATTTGGGTTTTCGGGTTCGGTGCATATGGGAGTTTCCGAAAATAGGGAACCCTAATATAGTACCCTAAATACTAGGATCCTTATTATAAGGACCCCCAAATAAGGTACCCCAATTTTTCGGAAGCTCCCATATAGCCCCCAAAGCCACACATGGCCTGGACCTCACGATCTGAGGCCAACAGCAGCAACAAGTTCATCCCGACTCCTTACGTCATCGTCAAAGGGCAGCTCGTTTGCCCCTCACGTCAACTGCTGGGAGGCGGGACTTCCATGTTGGGACAAAACAGTTCAATGTTCACGCATGGCCGTGGTTGGGATGTATCCGGGGCTCTGAAACCTTCAAGCGCTGACTCTGACCCTGGCCCACTTCTCTGCCTCCCTCTTTCAGTCTCTCTCTCTCTCTCTCTCTGTCTCTGTCTCTGTCTCTTTCTCTCTCTCTCTCTCTCTCTCGCTCACTCGCTCGCTCGCTCGCTCACTCACTCACTCTCGCTCGCTCGCTCTCTCTCTGTCTCTCTCTCTCTCTCTTTTTGTGTCTCTCTCTCTCTCTCTCTCTCTCTCTCTCTCTCTCTCTCTCTCTCTCTCTCTCTCACTCACTCACTCACTCTCTCACTCACTCAGTCGCTCACTCACTCACTCACTCACTCTCTCACTCACTCACTCACTCTCTCACTCACTCAGTCGCTCACTCACTCACTCACTCACTCACTCACTTTCTCTCTGCACCATTGTGCAAATCCGGTCTGCGCGGTCCTGGCTCCCGTCTCTTTCTTGGGTCGAAGTCGCGAGAAGAATCCAAAATGCCTCGACTAGAAGAGTGACCTGGGCACCCAGGCCGGGAAACCCAAGCCTCAGCCGCCCAATTGAATTCGGCAATGCTGGCAAACCAGATGTGGTAGGCTTCACACTGACAGTGTCTGGAGTCCCCGAACCCGAAACCCTAAACCCTACACCTTAAACCCTAAACCCTAAACCCCTAAACCCCAAAACCCTAAACCCTGAACCCTAAACCCTAAACCCTAAACCCTAAGGGGTTTCAAGTGTAGGGAGTCGAAGGGTTCTCAACGGCCCGAAGCCAAAACCACCAGCACATCGAAGACGCTATTTAGGGGTACTTAGAAATACTTTTTTAATTATTGGTTATTATAATCCCTAAGAAACGGCTAAAATTACAATCTTTGCTAGGGTTCTACATCGACTGGGGAAAACCCGGATGTCGACTCTCCCTAAGCAACCGAAACCTGCAGAAATGCATGCGATGTCGTCAAGCATTGCACCAAAGCCCAAACCTTCGCTCAGGTAGGGTTTAGGGTTTAGGGTTTAGGGTTTAGGGTTTAGGGTTTAGGGTTTAGGGTGGCGTAACTTAGGTTTAAGAGGTGCAACTAAAATTATGATGCCCTCGTTTGTGTAATTAGTCTGCAAGCCGTAGTTGAGGGAGAATCTGGGAAGACCATTTTCGAAGTGCCGACCAAGGCGCAAACCTGAAGAGCTTTATGCGACTGCGACAGCGGTTCCTAAACCCTAAACCCAAAACGTTGCAAAGGGGAGACCTCGAACACAGAAACGCTGTGTCCCTCGCGACAGGCGGCATGGGTGTGCACTTCCAGTCAGAGGAGGAGGCCGGAAGCCCCTAAAACAGGGCCCTTTTTAGGGGTTTAGGGGTTTAGGTTCAGGTGTGCCAAGAATCGGCTTATGGTCTATAGTCTATAATTTTAACTCAGCGATGCAGGGACCTTACCCTGACCTTATTGCTGCGTCTTCAGACCCCTCAACCCCATACGAACCACTGCATAAATCCCTGTAGTAATCGAGAGTAGCCTTATGCAACGACCCTCTGAGACACCCTAAACCCTAAACCCTAAACCCCTAAACCCTAAACCCTAAACCCTAAACCCTAAACCCTAAACTCTGAGACACCCGTTGGAAATCCTTGTAGTTCTTGCATCATAGGCCCCGAAAGCCTCTGCGAAAACCCACTCAATCTACATTGAACCCTACAGCCCTACAGTCTTACAGCCACATAAACCCTACACCCTAAACCCTCAAGCCACCCTTCGAAGCAACCAAAACACGCCTCGGGCTGAACCCTAAACCCTGAACCCTGAACCTTAAATTCTAAACCCTAAACTTAAACCCTAAACAAGAAACCCTAAACCCTAAACCCCAAAAGAGAAGCCTCCTGAGGTCCTTGAGCCGGCGGACTGCGAGGCCCGATGCCGGGAGCAGTCGACCTGCCTCTTCTTCTGGCCTCCCAACGGCGATTCAGATCCAGGGGCCAAGGGGCTTAAGGTTTAGGGTTTAGAGGTTTAGGGTTTAGAGGTTTAGGGTTTAGAGGTTTAGGGTTTAGGGTTTAGGGGTTTAGGGTTTAGGGGTTTAGGGTTTAGGGGTTTAGGGTTTAGGGGTTTAGAGGTTTAGGGTTTAGGGGTTTAGGGTTTAGGGGTTTAGGGTTTAGGGTTTAGAGGTTTAGGGTTTAGGGGTTTAGGGGTTTAGGGGATTAGGGTTTAGAGGTTTAGGGGTTTAGGGGATTAGGGTTTAGAGGTTTAGGGTTTAGAGGTTTAGGGTTTAGGGGTTTAGGGTTTAGGGGTTTAGGGTTTAGGGGTTTAGGGTTTAGGGTTTAGAGGTTTAGGGTTTAGGGGTTTAGGGGTTTAGGGGATTAGGGTTTAGAGGTTTAGGGTTTAGAGGTTTAGGGTTTAGGGGTTTAGGGTATAGGGTTAAGGCTTTAGGCCGTCTTCTTCTGGCCTCTTGACCGCGGTTTGGTTTGCGTTTAGGGTCTAGGGGGTTCGAGAGGGTTTCTGTTAGGGTTCGCGACGACGAATCGGTCTGGGTGTCGGAGTCCCTAAACCCTAAACCCCAAACCCTCAACCCTCAACCCTAAACCCTCAACCCTAAACCCACAAGCCTCAACCTTAAACCCTAAACCCTACATAAACCCTAAACCCTAAACCCTCAAGGGCTTTCGCCAGCCTTCTTGGGCTCATATACATCTCGGGATTCCTTGAAGTGGTTTCTGCAAGAGTTCCCGGTGGCGGTTTGGTTTGGGGTTTCGCTGTCGGTGTTCATATACATATATTTATATATTGTTAAATAAATAAAATATGCATATATATATATATATAGGTTTGAGGGTTCCTTTACGGCTTCCTTCAATGCCTTTTGACGACGGTTTGGTTTGGAAGTTCTGGTTGTTTTGGGCTACCATAGAAGGAGTCTGCAGGGCTTCTCGGGCTTCTCTTGGGTTTAGGGTTTTAGGGTTTCGGGGAATCAGGGTTTCAGTTTTTAGGGTTTAGGCTTTAGGGTTTTAGGTTTAGGGTTTAGGGGGTTTAGGGGAATCAGGGTGTGGGGCATCTGGGGTGTTAGGGTCTTGGAGTGTTAGGGTTTAGGGGTTTGTTGGTCTTGTTCTTGGTTTGCTTCAGCTTGTTGCTTCCCTCCCTGCACCCTAAACCCTGAACCCGAAACCCTAGACCCTACCCTAAACCCTACACCAGAAACCCCAAATTCCAAATGCCAGAACGTTCACATACGCCCGTATACACCCTAAACCCCAAACCCAAAGCCCTAGGCCCTAAGCCCTAAGCCCTAAACCCTTAACCCCAAAACGGTCTCACAATTTCCTGCTGCTTTGCTTGTGGAGCACAGAAAGAAGCCACTGCACTTAAAACAATAACAATAACACGATAACAATAACAACAATACTAATAAATTAAAAATAATAATACTAATAATACAAATACTACTACTACTACTACTACTACTACTACTACTACTACTACTACTACTACTACTACTACTACTACTACTACTACTACTACTACTAATAAGAATAATGATGTTCACACAGAACCCTGAAGAGCCGGAGCCCTCGGCCTGTTTTGAGCGGCAAGGCACGGCTCGCAGCACGGCGCATCGACCTGCCGTCCCTTGGAGCTTTCTGTTTTGGATTTTTAGGGCTTTAGGGTTTCGTTTAAAGGAACTATAAGGGTTCCTGCAAGGGGTCTATAAAGGAGTTTAGGGTTTGGGGGTTGAAGTTTTCGGGGTTGCAGGTTTCAGGGCTTCGGGGTAAGTAAGATTTAGGGTCGGGGTTTGGAGTTTCAGGGCTTACGGCTTTTGGGGTTTGGGTTGAGGGTTTAGGGGCTTTCGAACCGTCTGGGGGCAGGCAGGCATGCCGGATCTAACAGGAGGGCACTACAATCAGCACACTCAGCCCCAAAACCCTGAAGCCCCAAACCCAGATTAGACACCAACCAGAACTTGAAGCGCAGCCGAACCGTCACCCCTAGCCTAGTTGGAGGTTCATAGGCAGTTATAAGTAGAGTTGAAAGTCCCCTAGTATGGCCTATATCTATAGTCACCCTACTTAGAACCCGCACTTGTAGCTACCTGTGCCTAGGGGCCTTGATAATTACCTATACGATTTTCAGGGTTCCTTGTTATGATTATACTATAATGGCTCCTAAGACCCTATTCTAATTATTCAGGCCCCTACATGAACCCTAAACCTTACACCCTCACCCCTAAACCCTTAAACCCTAAACCCTAAAACCCTAAACTCTTAAGCTGAGAGGCGTTTCTCTCTGCCCCCCAAGGGTTTTTCCCCGGCCCCCCAAGCTGTTTGAGCTTCCAGGCTGTGCCTGGAGCTCTGAGGCTCAGCAAATAAGGTAAAAGCCAGAAAGTTGGAATATCATTATCGTAACCCCTTTAAGGTAAACTATGGGGTATCCTACCATGAAACCATATTCCAACTTTCTGGAGTTCCCTGTAAGACTTGAAGTTCCCTTTGTTGGGGCCCGACAGTCGGCATAATCCGAGCTGAAGCCAAGCCTTCCTCGCAGCCGTCAGTTGCTAAGTCGATTAAGGCTTGGTCCCAGTTAAACTCACGGACTCAAAGCCCATTGCCGGAGTTTTAGGGTGTTTCGTAAGGTCTAGATCTCATAAGGCTTCTCAGGTTTGGGGCTCATACGGCTTCTCGGGTTTAGGCTTCTTACGGCTGCTTGGAGCCAGGGGTTTCTTGTAGCCTTATGTACCAAATCGATCTGGCCCTTGACTTGAAGTATGACTGTCAAGCAAGGCTTCCAACCTTGGTATCGCCCCCCTAAACCCGGAACCGCCTACAGCATCTCCTGAAGCCCTTGTAGAATCCTGTAAGAAATCCCTTTATGGAACTTGATGCATATTCCAAAGCCCTTATAGAATCCTTCAGGCAAGAACTTTATGGAAGCCCTCTTTGAAGGCCTACACAGTCCCAGGCTTGTTCAGCGGCTGCGACAACCTTGTCCGCGAGTTCAGCTTGGAAGGAGACCTGAAGGTCTCCGTGCCTTTGGGTTTGGCGGGTTTAGGGTTTAGGGTTTAGGGGACCATAGTTTAGGGTTTAGGGGACCTTAGTTGAAGCCGCCATAATAAAGAGGCCATACTATGTAGGTTAGTTCGATGGTAACTTAAATACTTAAACTCCTTAACAAAACCACGTTCTACAAAGGTTCCCAAAGGTTCTCCTTCGCCTGCGGTAGGAGTTTTCTGGGGCATTTCAACTTCTTTGCAGGTTTGGCACGCGTTAGGGTTTTCAGCCTTTCCCTTGACCCCACACCCTCAAGCCCTAAACCCTAATGGGTAGTTGTCAAAGTCAGGGTGCCTAGTTTGGGTCCTAAATATAGTACGGCACCTGATATTTAGGGTACCCAGACAGGGACCCTAATTTTGACAACCACCCTAATAAAACCGGTTCTTGGTTTGGAGCTCCCCGGTGCAGGGACCCCTCGATTCAGGTCTTCGTAAACATCGAGCCTTGAGCTTTCACCCAAGTCCTTGACCCGAAGCCCAACACCAACACCTTCATTTAGTACTTATGTCATATCTGCTTATAGTATAACTTAGAAACTATGTCATATCTACTTGAAATATAACTTCAGCGGATTCATGAGACTATCATTCTATTCTGGTTGTAAGGGCGGCTAAGACACCCACACCCCATCCCACACCCTAGACCAACTCAAGTAAACAGCGAATTTCCCAATCCTCGCACAACCTGAGAGATATATGAGGGCGAACAAAAGGAGTCGAATGTAGGTTTTTGGATATGACAGACGTGGGGTTCCAGAGTGCAGGCAACCTCTTCAAACATTGAACCTCGAATTCACCCCGAACCTGAAGCCTTGAGAAACTAGAGCCTTAAACCCTGAAACCATCAACCCACCCCCCATCACCCCCAAAACTGGGACAGGAAAGCCCTGGAAAAGCGCACTCAAGAAAGTCTGCACCTCTCTGCTTGGAGGCAATGCCGCGCAGCCCCAGTTGCACCGTTGCCGACGCAGCCACTTTGATTCCTTTAGGTTCTAACTGTGGGCCCTCACATGCCCACACCCCCCAAACCTGAAATCTTACAGTCTTAACTGTAAGTTGCAGCAGAGATTACCTTCTGTACATGTGGGTGGTTGTCAAAAGCATGGTCCCTTTTTGGGTACCCTAAATATCAGGTGCCGTATTATAAGAAGGACCCCAAAAGGGACCCTAGTTTTGACAACTACCCATGTGTCTGCGTGCCGTTAGCAGCGTCTCACTAGTCGGGTCTCGCAGTCTCACTCTCTGCAAGTTTATGGGTTTTTGAGTTTTCGGGTTCTGGGGTTTCAATGCAATAAGTATTACATAATAAAATTGGTGAACTAACAAAGGCTAAAAGGGAACAAATTGAAACAAGTTGTACTTGATGGAATGACATGTAAATATGATAAAGAAAGGCCATTTATGACCAACATTGAAAACGAAAGCTTTAAAGGTTTAGGGCACATGTACTATCAGAAATCCAGATTAGAAGAGTCTTTAAATACACATAAGAGTATGAATTTATTGGTTGATGTTGAATTTGTTTAAGGCAGCTTATAAAAAAGATGAGGCGACATAATAAATATTAGCATCATGTTGTGTTGTTGTAAGTAGAGTCACACGTACCCTACTGTGTGCTGTAACTATAGTTGCCCTACTTGTAATCCCCATTAGAACTACCCGTGAACCGCCTAGTAGGGCAGTTGAGGATTCCGCCCGTTTCGAATTGTCTCGAAGTGCTGAAGATGTCGTCCCGAAGTGAGGTGAAATGTTGGGCCACCTCCCTTCGCAGGACCTTGGGTCAAAGCCAACGCTTCGGGGTTCGTATCGGGCCTTGCAAATTCGAATGGGGCCTTAACCTATATTATACTATAATTACCTACGTCATGGAAGCCGAAGATAGGTAATTACTCCCGCTTCTATGTCAGCGCGTTTGGGTTTGTTCGGATTCAGAGAGTATTCCGGCAAGCCTTGGTTAAACCGCAACAGGTGTTTTGCCAAACTACAGAGGTTGCTATATGGGCGTTTCTGAGAATATTGGACCTAATATAGTACCCTAAGGAGTAGGATCCTTATTACAAGGACCCCAAAATGAGGTACCCACAATTTTCGGAAACTCCCATCTAGCAGAGCTTGTGAAAGATCTCGCGTCTTCAAGACCATTGGGATCGATTCTTCTCCGCATTTTGCCTTCGCCAGAACCGTAGCGATAGCATAACATACCCCAGAGCCCCAATCTAATAATTCAGGGCCCCATATCATAGAACTCTACTGCAGATCCAACCCGTCAAGAAACCCTTTTCAGGGAACTCTCTTCTAATTATGCAGGCCCCATCTTGGCGTTTGATAGGGTTCCTCACGATAGTACGATATACACCGAGACCCGATTCTAATTTATAAGGCCCTCTACCATCGAACCCCATTATAAATCCTCTATAGAACCCTCTGAGGAACCCGATAAATCCTCTATAGAACCCTCTAAGGAACCCTATAAATCCTCTATAGAACCCTCTAAGAAACCCTATAAATCCTCTATAGAACCCTTTAAGGAACCCTACTCTAATTCTTGAGGCCCTCACCTGGAAATGTGGGGTTGAGGAGGATGTTGGGATCAGGGCTGGGGTTTTGGGGGTCAGGCCACTCTGACATGGAGGGCATCCGGCTTAGGGGTTTCGGGCTTAGGGTTCAGGGCAAGAAGCACTATGCCTGCTAGACTGCTACATAACTCAAGGGGTATCTCTAGATAAGTTGATCGTCGACGAGAAGTTTGAAGCAGATTACTTGCATTATGTGTGCACACACACACACACCGCATATCCATCAATCTTTGCCACCAACATAGATACATGCTTGAGCAGGCAACAAGCATACACAGGTACCCTACTGTACAAGAAGTAGCACCTGGTTACATCACATACGCATTTACATGATTTTTGCACGTGCGTGCATGTGCACATATTTTTTTTTATACATATATATATATATGTGTGTTTATTCGTTTCACGAATCTTGAATCCGCAGAAAATCACGAGGAGTTTCTTGTCCATGGCCTTCAGCCCAAGTGGCGGTCCAAGTGGAAACTCCGCGTCGGCTGGCGTCGCCCTGAATCTGCCTCCGAAGTCCCTGTGCAGATTTCATGAACTTATAGGGACCCTTGAAAAAAAGGGTAAGATGGGGATGGGGGTAGGGGACGATACTTCCTCAAATAGGCCTTACTAAGTCCTCATCGATCACAGGGGAAGTCAGGGGCTTAGTGGTCGTGAGCAGGTGCATGTAACGGATGATGGTGTTGCGGTTGAGGACAAATGACAATGTCCATGTTATGACCACGGTCACCATGGGTCATGACGGAGATCGTAATGGCAGTGGTGACGATGATGGTATTGGCATGGTCCTATGCCCACGAAACTTTGCCCAGGGCGGCGTCCCCTGGTTTGCATGATGCATCTAATCACGATATTCACGACCGTCATGATGACGATGGTGATGATGTGTCGCCATCGACAGCATCGCCCGCATCACAATCACCATCATCATCGTCATCATCATCGTCATGATCCTCATTGCGCTGGCCATATCTTCCTTGTGTTCATGACCATCGTCGTCTCAGCCCCAGAGCCCCAAGAGAAGCCACCCAGGCCGGCAGCCCCGCCCGCCGATGGTATGTTCGCGTGGTTTGAGAGCCTGGTCTGAAACAGGTCTTTTAGGGTATGGGCTTTAGGGCCTGGTTTAGGGTTCAGGGGTTATGGTGCAGCATGTCCGGCTTAGGGTTTAGGGGTCGTGGTTTTCGAGCTCGGAGTCCTGGTTTTACGGTTCTTGCGATCGTGCTGCTCTTTCGATGTTTTTGGGGTTTAGGGGTTTAGGGGTTTAGGGTTTAGGGTTTAGGGTTTAGGGTTTAGGGCTTTCGATGTGAGTTTTTCGGCGAGGAAAACGGCCCTTGTTCGGGGGTCGGGGCATAGACAAGGAGGCTCCTTGCCCTGAACCCGAGTTGCCCTGAACCCGAGCCTAAAACCCCACAATTCCAATGTACATCGCCGAGCCCTAACCCTAAATCCGGAACCTAACCTAGCCTGTAAAAGCCTGGGCCGGCTTCAGAGCACATCGCCTAGGAGTGAGAACGCAGGAAACGTGTGGCGCAGCTCCGTTGGAGACTTTGAGGGCCATTGCAATCGAAGCTGGGTTCTTATTCGTTTTTAAATTAAGGGCTGAGGGTTTTAGGGGATAGGGTTTAGGTCAAGTTACCAAAGATGCAGCGTATTTTCCCGCAAGTAGTACGTAGTCGTTTTTTGGTGGCCTTAAAGTGATCACTTTAACGGGAACCCAGTGAACGCCGTCTACCGGCAAGTGGAAGCTGGGAATGGAGCTGATCGTCCTGTTACTTTCATCGAAGGCTACACGTGGCTCCTGGACTTATACTGTTTTGGGCGGTCCTTATTATAGTTATAGTATATTGGGCCCCAAAACCCTATTCTGACTATTGACTTTCCTTTATTAGTGATTGTCTTGTGGTTCTTTTTCTTGCTAGTAAACACGCTGTCTCTGTTCATTTGGGTTCCTTGGATAGAAGCTGCTCTTATAGGAACCGCAGAATGAGGTCAGGTTACACCTTCGGAAACGTGATTCCCCCGACCCACACCGTCTGCTCCGTCACGCGTTACGGCAGGGCTCGAGATGGGTCGTTCAAAACGGGGCGCATCTTGCAGTCCAGAACTGAAAACAACTGGCTTCATGGCCACTGGTCAAACCGAGCAGGTGTTGCATACTATAATGGTTGGCTCACATCCCACGAAAGGAATATCGATGTTAGAGATTGGGTTGTGCTTTGCGGCACCAACGGTGCACAACGAGCATTCGACGGCTTTTCGTACGGCACCCCAGCGAACATTGCGTCCCAATCCACAACACCGGTGAAGTTCACAGAGACCATACCTCTGTACATCAATCATGGCTTTGATGAAAAGTCTGACTTTGCAGTCATGGAGGTGATTACCTGGGACAGGGTGTTGTCAGAGCAGGAGATGGTGGCCACCGTCGACTACTTGAAGTGGAAGCTTAGAGCAGGTGCCGTGCTCGAGACTTCAGAGCACATTGCGCAGGAGACCGAAAAGAACTTCGACTCTTGGGGCGTTCAAATGTTGGACGATGTGAGTCACCAAACCTTCGAAGTCGACTTGCCCAACGGCTACAAAGCAGACCTGACAGGCTGGACACATACCCGAGACTACGCTCGGGGATTTCTCACAAACAAAGACGGGGTGTCCACAGCAGTCGTGAAGGGATTGGTGCCAGCAGCACAGTACCTCTACCAGATCTACATGGTGCATGAGAAGGCCGATTGGTCTGGTCAGGCCAAGGTGTCCGTGAACCATGGCGTGCAGGGCAGATGCAACGCGCACCACGACAACGAAGCCGCATTCTCTGGGGTGGCAGTGGCTTCGCCCAGAGGCCGGATCCTCACCTTCAAGCCCTATGTATCCTAAGCCCTCTATGATCTCTAAATGCTGAACGGAGGTGAGATCAACTTCGAGTTCGAGCGAATCTCCTGGCATGTCCACCTCTCCGGAATCGCCATTGCGAAAGTGGGGCAGCCTCCGGTTCCGGCCAAGCCAGCGGATCCACCATCGCAGGGCATGTATGCTTGGTTCAAGCACCTTGCCTGAGATGTAGGCTATTTGTTTAGACGCAGAGGCACATGCACGCACACTCGCACACACTCGCACGCCCCCACACGCCCCCGACGCCCCTGCCCACACGCATGCCCACATGCCCCCCACAGAAGCACATGCATGCATGTATGGATGCGCATACACACATGCACACACCAAGATACTCGTCTTCCAGTTGGGGGAAAACAGCATCTGTACTGCAAGTTGCATGCTCCAGGGTGTGGGAGTGTGGGGATGCACGTGCTTGAACGGTTGCATCCGGTTATCTTCTCTGCTGATACAAATAAACGTTTTGGTTATTCTCACAATTATCACACAGCCACTCACAAGAGAAGAAATTTTCCCTCGCAGGAGTGAGAACGCTGGATCCGTGTGGCGCAGCTCTGTTGGAGGCTTTGAGGGCCATTGCAACAGAAACTGGGCTCCTGTTAAGCCATTTACTTTGGCTAGCAGAATTGGGACATACACTAATGTTTATGCCCTCAACCCTAAACCCTAAACCATAAGATAAGATTTATTCGATGTACACGATGGTTGGACAACAAGGCTCCCTCGAACCGGGGTTTCGGACGCAACTGCAGACGGAAAAGGGCCCCCCCCAAAAAGAAATAAACAACCTAAACCCTGAAACTTAAATTGAGCACCTTAACCCGAGCCCAGTGGGCAGCGTCTTCCGGCGAGTTGCAGCTGGGAATGGTGCCGATCGCCCCGTTACCTTCATCGAAGGCTACATATGGCCCCTGAACTGTGATTGTGTTGTGGTTCTTCTTGTTGCTCGTAAAGTTGTTGTCTCTTTTCAGTTGGGTTCTCTGGAGGAACCTCCGAAGAATCAGGTCAGGCTACGACTTCGGAAACGTGATTCCCCCGACCCACACCGTCTGCTCCATCACTCGATACAACGGTCCGCACAAGGGACGTATCTTGCAGTCCAGAACTCAAAACAACTGGCTACATGGCCACTGGAGCCGCCAAGCCGGTGTTGCGTACTATAATGGTTGGCTTACATCTTATTCGAGACCTTTAGATGTTCTAGATTGGGTTGTGCTTTGCGGCACCAACGGTGCACAACGAGCATTCGACGGTTTTTCGTCCGGCACCCCGGCCAACATTGCGTCCCAATCCACAACACCGGTGAAGTTCACGGAGACCATACCTCTGTACATCAACCATGGCTTTGATGAGAAGTCTGAGTTTCAAGTCATGGAGGTGATCACCTGGGACAGGGTGTTGTCAGAGCAGGAGATGGTGGCCACCGTCGACTACTTGAAGTGGAAGCTTAGAGCAGGTGCCGTGCTCGAGACTTCAGAGCACATTGCGCAGGAGACCGAAAAGAACTTCGACTCTTGGGGCGTTCAAATGTTGGACGATGTGAGTCACCAAACCTTCGAAGTCGACTTGCCCAACGGCTACAAAGCAGACCTGACAGGCTGGACACATACCCGAGACTACGCTCGGGGATTTCTCACAAACAAAGACGGGGTGTCCACAGCAGTCGTGAAGGGACTGGTGCCAGCAGTGCAGTACCTCTACCAGATCTACATGGTGCATGAGGTACCCAACTGGCAGGGCGAAGCCAAGGTGTCCGTGAACCATGGCGTGCAGGGAACATGCCACGCGAATGGCAACAACGAAGCCAGGTTCCTTAGATGGCTTATGGGAGAACTTTGAACTTCTTGGCTTTATATAATTTGGTCTATGTTAAGCTTGAGCTTCTTTGGGCCTGGCTATTGAAGAAGAGAGGTTCTCCGGGGTGGCAGTGGCTTCGCCCAGAGGCCGGATCCCAGATCCCAACCCTCCCCAAGCTAACGATGGCAGGCGGGAAACGGAAACCCTCCCCCTTTCTTAAAAGATCCCAGGCGCCCACAAACGTAGATCCTAAGTCCGGAACACAGGTGAGATCAACTTCGAGTTCGAGCGCGTCTCCTGGCATCTCGACCTCTCCGGCATCGCCATTGCGAAAGTTAGCTCGCCAGCCAGTTTGCTTCAGGAGGCAGGGGATGCTCCATGGGTGGATTTTGCGGATGGGCACTCTCGCATCCTATTAGTTGGGGCATGTTTGGGCAACCAGAAGGCTTAAACCTAAACCACCCTACCCAAAAACTTCAAACCCCGAACATCGAACCACTGTAAACCTTGGACATTGAACCTTAACGTCTGACACGAAGTCTTCAGCGGCATGCAAAGCCGGCTCTGTCAGGCAAGCTTAAATGAAGCAACAGGTTCTGGACAGAGCTAACTCCTCAAACTTTAAACCCTCAACCCTTTAGGCCGCAAATCCCCCTGAACCCTGAACCCGGCAAATGACCCAAAGCTGAAGAACGTCCAGGCCTCCATCGCGACGCGGCTTTCGGAAGGAGACTTGACGATTTTGGTATAGTGTACGGAATACGTTTAATGCATCTCTCTGTACACATATGTATATATATATATATGTATATATATATATACATATATATATATATATATGTGTATATACATATGTATATATATGTATGCATGTGGATACATGCACGTGCGTGTATGTACATCAACTTTGTCAGTAGTATGTTATTGCAAAATACACACACATACATACATATATATATATATATATATATATGAGAGAGAGAGGCCTTTGGGGTCTATTTAACGCACCGCACAGACAGCTTGATCAGATAATTAAATAAACTAAATAAACAAAATCGGTAAACCCAGCTTTGATTATTTAATTAGTTTCTGCTGATTTACTTAAATAAACAAAATAAACAAAATAATCAAACCGGTTTTTGCTGATTTTGATTATTTTGTTTATTTTGTTTATTTAATTATGAAGGCCGGGTCAGTTTCCCGGGCAAGTGAATTTATTTTGTTTATTTTGTTTATTTTGTATATTTTGTTTATTTACTTCAAATAAACAAAATAAACAAAATCTGCAAGCCCAGTTTTGATTATTTAACTATTTTCTGCTGATTTACTTAAATGAACAAAATAAGCGAAATAAACAAAATAAACAAAATAAATTGAATTGCGCGGGAAACTGACCCGACCTTCAGAAATAAATAAACTAAATAAACAAAATAAACAAATTAATCAAACCGGTTCTTGCTGATTTTGATTATTTTGTTTATTTTGTTTTTTTTCTGAAGGCCGGGTCAGTTTCCCGGGCAAGTGAATTTATTTTGTTTATTTTGTTTATTTTGTATATTTTGTTTATTTACTTCAAATAAACAAAATAGACAAAATAAACAAACTCGGCAAACCCAGTTTTGATTATTTAACTATTTTCTGCTGATTTACTTAAATGAACAAAATAAGCAAAATAAACAAAATATACAAAATAAATTTAATTGCGCGGGAAACTGACCCGGCCTTCAGAAATAAAAAACTAAATAAACAAAATAAACAAACTAATCAAACCGGTTTTTGCTGATTTTGATTATTTTGTTTATTTTGTTTTTTTTCTGAAGGCCGGGTCAGTTTCCCGGGCAAGTGAATTTATTTTGTTTATTTTGTTTATTTTGTATATTTTGTTTATTTACTTCAAATAAACAAAATAAACAAAATAAACAAAATCTGCAAACCCAGTTTTGATTATTTAACTATTTTCTGCTGATTTACTTAAATAAACAAAATAAGCAAAATAAACAAAATAAACAAAATAAATATAATTGTGCGGGAAACTGCCCCGGCCTTCAGAACTAAATAAACAAAATAAACAAAATATATTTAATGGCCGGCGGAACCCTCCTTCCCTCCCCCTCCCCCTTTCCCTCCACCCCTCTTCCCTCCCCCTGTTTGCGTAAACCTCTAAAGGGGTAGCTCTAACAGGTACCTACAGCAATGGCTGCATGCTCATACATATACATTCCGCTGCCCATTGGCTCACAGTGGTTTTACCATATTGAGACAAGACAAGCTCTCCTTGCGTAGCAAGACAAAACAACTACTGTCCGTGTGCAGGGCGCTGCCCTTTGATCCTTAGGGAATAAACTGGTCATACACCTCCTAACAAGGAGCATTTCCTTGTGGGTGTATCGGCTCAGTTTTCTGGTAGCGGAGCCCGGAAAGGGCCGCCCGCCTCCCAAAGTCCGCTACAGCGGTCGGCCTCGCCGAACGCTTAACCAAGCGGATAAGAGGCAGCACAATGTCGAGCTCGCATAGCGAAGCCGACGACAGTTCCCAATCCTCCGGGGGATATGAGAACGAAGAGACCTCCCAAGGTCCAGCCACTTATGTCGCACAGTCATATGCAACATCTGACCGCATGCTTGCATCATTAGGCATAACGCCCAAGATCGCGCCTGCCTATGATGGCACCACCTCGTGGTTTGAGTATGAACAGTTGATTGACGACTGGTGCGACATAACAACGCTGGATGACACCAAAAGAGGTCCGTCTCTCAAGACGAGGCTCTCCGGATTGGCCGCAGTACAAAAGGAATCACTGAACCGAGAAAGGCTTGCAGCCCCAGATGGAGTAGATTACTTCAAGAAGAAGATGCGTCCATTTTTCGTGAAAGGAGAACAGTACGTTTTCCTGTGGCGTTTCCTCGGCCTATTCAAGGCATGGAAGGGCAACCAAGACTTTGTGACTTGGATTGCCAAGTTTGAGATCGTGCTACAGCGCGTGAAAAACTCATGGATGGATCTCTTACCAGAGATAGCTCTGGAGGATGCCCATCCAGATTTCATGCAAGCTGTGCAGGCAGACCAAACCTTCTTGCGCATGCAGGATGCAGCCGAGAGAGACACATATGCCGCACGCTATTTCGAAACATGGAACAAGGAACGCCTTGACAATCATCGAAGAGCGTTTCCTCTGAACGATAATCTCCTAGCTCTCCTCTTCCTAGTGCAGTCCGACCTAAATGAGATGCAACGTGAGAGGTTGGTAACAGCATTGACCAACCAAGGTCACCGAATTGAGACCTACACGTACCCTGTGGTACGGCAGACCATGTTCGATCAGTTCTCAACGACCAGAACTGGTCTGCAGGATCCCAACATTCGGCACTCTTCTCACAAGAAGGACCGCCATGGAAGGAGAGACCAACGCCGTAAACGCGGAGGTCGAAACTTCCTCATCCTCGATCAGGGTGAATACGATGGAGTCGATGGATTCTGGCTCCAAGACGAAGACACCCTTGAGGAAGGCTTTCTTGCCGCCGAGGATGAAGAAGCTGTCTTCTGGACAGTTGATGACCATGAGGCCTTCGTTGCAAGGAGATTCAAAAAGGGAAGAAGACCAAGAATGCGTCCCGGATCACCGGGAAGAGCAAAGGGTGGCAAGCGAAAAGGACGTGGCCGTTTTAGGTCATACCGCGGAAAAGGGAGAGCCAACCAGGCAGAACATGATCCAACTGATTCCAGCTATTTCGGTAAAGGTAAAGGAAAGGAAAAAGGAAAAGGTGGAAAAGGCAAAGGAAAAGGAAAGGACAAAGGAGATAAAGGAAGCTCCTTCAAAGGCGCAAAGGCAAAAGGCAAAGGTAAGGATACAGCTAAGTCTGCCTCCTTACAAGGAGACCAAACTGGATCTCCACAGGCCTATGAGAGTTCCACCGCACCGAGCTGGGATTCATGGTATGAGGACAGTTATTATACTGACTCCAGTTGGAATTATGCCGCTTATGACGATCAAACGTCTTATACATACTATGCATCACAAGCCTCACGAAGAAAAACACGGAGAAAGAAGAGAAGAAATCAAGCAGGATCATCAGGTAGAGGCACAGATCCGAGCGCGCACCAAGAACCCGTGTTCAACTCATCAGTGAGTTACGTGCCCCAGGTCTTTGAACCATCCGAGGGGCAAGGTGTTGAAACTGCAACAGCTTTGGAGAGGGGCAATCCCTAAGAATCTGCTCTCACAGAGCGGATCAATCTTGATAAGAACCCTACCTTTGTCATACTTGACTCAGGTTGTACTAGGGCTATGGGTTCCCGCTATGCGGTGAACAGGCTTATCAAGGCCGTGAAGCAACGTGCCCCAGGCATGATTGATTTCACTTTCTCACCTTCGAACACGAAGTTCTCTTTCGCAGATAGTGAAACAGCTCTTATCAAGGAGCGTGTAACTCTATGGTTCAACACAACTCCAAGAAGAGATACAACCATCGAGGTTCTGGATCAGGGGAGAGTTCCCATTTTGTTCTCCATCGAACAGATGAGGAATCTAAGAATGACCCTCGAGTGTAGTCCCACAGCTGACCTAGCAACGTGTGAAGCTTTCGGTTTGTACAAAACCCCCCTTCCGATTAGTACCAATAACCATTTGGTATTGGACCTTCTAGGCTTCACTTCCACCAGGAAGTATCTCCCTAAGTCAGGTACGTCGTTCAGTGCGACGGAGACTGCTCTAGGAGCTAAGAAGCCAAAGGAAGAAAGAAGATCTTATACTAAGATCCCGGAAGGTCGCTGTCCAGCCTGCGCAGGACAGAAAAAGCCTCATACGTTCCTCAAAGGTTGCGACAAAGCACCTGAAGGAGCAGCTGATCCACCACCGAAGGGCATTCCAGGTAAGAAGAAGCCTCTTCCATCTGATCCGGCAGAATCATCTGCCAAGAAACCTGATCCACCAGAACCATCTGGTGATGCTCCTGAGCCTTCCGAACCATCGGAACCATCATCAGGCTCTAGAGACAAACCTGCAGAATCATCTGCACCGCACGAACCTCCAGAAGAAGAAAGACTTGAGGTTCCACCTGCGAAGACAAAGACTCCAAAGGGTCTTAAAAACCTTCTGAAGAAAACCCGCAAATATGCGGTCAAACCTCCTGTTGAGGAGAAGTCTATGGTCCCAGGAGCTGATGACGGGACGGAGGTAAGACCACTTGAGTCAAGAGAATACCCGGCTCCTGGTACAGACTCACCTACAGGTGAAGAGATTGTCGCAGAACCATCGCCATCTCTTCCCATTGCTCTTCGCAGGATTCATGAGAAGCTTAAGGACCCTGTAGAACTCTATAAGCTTCACCTTAAGCACCGTCATATGAGTACGGATCAGTTCAAGCGACGCACGAAAGCCTTACAGATCCCAAAGGAGATATATGAGCTATATGACCAACTGGTCAAAAAGTGTTCAGCCTGTCAGGAACACGTGAGAGCTCCTTCAAGAGCGAAGATTTCCGGTTTAAGATCAGAGACTTTCGGTGATCTCACCTTCGTAGATCACGGTGAGCTTCCAATTCCCGGCAAGAATAGTCGCTTAATATTTCTTATTCTCTATGACGGAGCAACAAACCTGTTGACTTCCGAAGTAGTCCAGGATAAAGAAGAGCATACTACAATGTCGATTATGAATGACTACTTTGAGAAATTTCAGATCAACCCAAAGGTTGTAGTTGGAGATCAAGCATTCATGACTCCAAAAATGGAG